ATATCCAAAGACGCTGCAAATGCTTCGCCTTGCTTTTCTATAGCCTCGCTCCATATGTAACAGGCATACACAAGAAGATCCCCAGTAGATCGCCCTCGTCGCATTTCGTACTGACGATCACTGAGGAGGTCGTTGTCTTCAAGGTACGATAGGAGACGGTTGTTGAGTACACGTTCCATAGTCTTCCAGAGTATGGAAGTGATTGAGATAGTTCTATACTTGACAGGGTCAGCTGTGCTTCCCTTTTTCGGCACAGGTTGCACGTTTGCAACTTTTCACGACTTGGGAACTACACCAGTCTCAAGTCAGAGGCGGTACAGGCGTGTGAAAACAGGAGACAACACAGACGCACAGTTACGCAGAACTATTGCTGGAATTCCATCTGGCCCGCTAGCTTTATTCACGTCTAGATTTCGCAGAGTTCTAAGTACCTCTTTATAGCGTATGCGAACTGGCGCCATAGTGCAGCCAGCGTGAGGTAAAGTAAGTGGTAGGTTCCCTGCGGCATCCAGACGCGAACTCTCTGCAAAGGTAGGTAAAAAGATTCGCCTTCTCTTCCGCAGTATGAGCCAGCGAGCCATCCGGCCTTAGCAGAGGTGGCAAAGATGGGCGACAAAAGTTAGATTCGACCGCTTTGGCCAGGGACCAAAAGGATTTGCTGCCTGCTGGATACGACGCTAGCTTGGCCCCTATGCGGCGCACATGGTCGAACTTGGTCCTACGTAACACGTTTTTGCACTTTTTGGCTTAAAAGCTTCCTTCAAATTAAGTATATCTAGTACTTTAGTTTGGAATGATATTGTTTGTTGTATAGGTATTTTGTGAAGCATTCTAATATCAGTTGTGATACGTAAAAATTTTAGCAAATATATACATATATAAATTTGCTGTAAAATGTGTTCTTGAAAGATGTATCTTTATATATCTTTATAGATATAACTTTCTCCACAAACTGAACAAATATTTAATGTTCAGCTAGTCAAATGTAACCCTTCATCAATAGAAAAGTTCTTTCACCTCAAAAATTCCGGAACTAGCATTAAGTTACGTCCCTGTACTCGTTTATCTTTAACAATGATATATTTCAAACCTTTTACCAGCTCGTGTGTCGACCCGATTCATTTTAATAGAATGATACATTTTCTAGGCGGAAGCTGCTAAGCGATAAAAATTGTCAAACAATAAATAATTAATGATATAGCGTATTTTTTGTGAGATACAGTTTCAAGTTTTGAGGACGCTGCATCGAGAATTGTACACATTTCCTTGATTAGTAAATGTCATTTTTAACAAGCAAATTCTAAATTTAATATTATATCCTAGCTTGACTGATTATGTCGTAGTTACGATGTTAATGCTAGTCAGCATAAGGCGAATATTTCGGGGCAACGTATTTCGATTTAGCACTTCAGGTTTTGAGGTGTAGCTCGTGTAAAACATGTTCTGGGTAATTTTCAGGTTAGAAAATTAATTACCTAACTAACTATCTAATTTTGGTGGCATTTAAAATTTAAATATTCTGGAAAATTATTACTAAGTTTTATTTAATATTCAAGTGTAGTATTCTGAAATATTATTTAATATTTAACGATAATACTTGAATACTGAATAATACAAATTGCCACTGACGAAATTAGGTACAAAAAACTAACATGAAACTTACCCTTCCGTCTGTGAATTATATTAATATGCAAAAACTTATTAAATTAAAATAAAAAAAGATGCGAAACAGTGTACTCTAAAAAGTGAATAAAATCACCATGTGTAAATCTAACATCTCATCCAGATCAATTTAATGAGCCTAAATACGAAACACGGTAACACGGTAGTTCTAGCGTAAGTAGTTGAGAAATTATTAATGCAAGAAGGACAAAGGACAATTAGTGGAGAATGTTTACTTTTGAAAGCATAGTAAATTCATACGTCTTCCACGCCAGTTATGAACTGAGCCACGAAATGTGGTCAAAGGATAAACACAATATACGGTTTTGTGTAGATATAAAGTATATTTTTAGAGAGGCGAAAAAGGTTAACAAATATAATGAACTGATAGCAAATATCTATGAGTAGAAAAATGTTTCATTCCTTTCATCGTCGCCGTGAAATAAACCAATTTTTAATTGATATTATTAATAATTGATATTATTAATAATTGATATTATTAATAATTGATACCTTAAATAATGAATTACACTACAAATATAGTAGATAAAGCTGTACATACATATATAGGTATAAAGAAATACCACGCCCGATCATCCAAAGCAAGATTACGAAAGTGAAAAAAGGCTTGTTCATGATTAGATTTTGGTCGTATCCAGATTGTAAATTCGCTACACACGTTCATTGCAAAGCACGTGACTGTACTTTAGCTGTTATTCTTCGTCACAATCTTTGGAATAACAGGTGATTATTGTAGGTTTCAAATGAATATATTTACATTATTTATTTGATAATATTGATTTATTGTATTATAAAGTAAAAAGGTATTTCTTACACTTGTGAGAATGTGTAAGTCGATAGATACAATGTAGCTCGTTGTGATGTAGTTTTATTGATTTCATTACAAAGGTCAAATATGAAAACTCCTATCAGGACCCCGATTCAGAACTCTTCGATATTTTAACCGAATCGTTCGATTGGATATCGTTCTCGAATTGAAGGGCGCTTTCCGAGCTATTCAGAACATTCCGAGTTAAACGTTCGATTCAGATATAAGTTAGTCGGTGAAATAGATTATCATTTTTAAGACTTCAAAGGCCTAAATATAGGAATGCATTAGTCTTACATTAAAACAAATTAATAAAATTTAACAAAATCCAGACTTTAAAATAATGAGAGATTTCCATATTACATTCTTGCTTTGTAAACAATAGGAAGTTCGGTAACTTTCATTCGAAAACTGTGTTCTGAATAACGTTTGTAGCCTTTACCGGTCGAGAAATTCGAGTAATCGTACGGGTGTGACGTGATTTCGTTTCGGTTTCGAACACGACAGTTTGACGTTCGATTTGGGTGTTGTGAATAAAAATGAAAAAGAAATCGGTCGACAACTGAGTTATCGTAAGGTTCTGGGGCCTTACCATGAACTCTTATTACAGTTCAGTATAGGTTCGTAACGACAAAAACGCGGGAGAGTGATATACACTTCATGTAGCGCTGTCTCACAACGATTCATTTAAGGTCCTAAACTTAATCCTAATAAGAGTTCATGGTAAGGCCCCTGAATCGGCCCCCAGATTGGCCTACTTGAAACTCCGGACAAACAAAGTACTGGTGCAACCACAGACAATATGTCTGTAGGTGCAACTTATAATTGCCTATTATTACATAAAAAAGTAACTGTTCCGATTTCTTGATCGCTCATAAGTTTTATTATTTAATTTGTAAGTGTGTATACAAGGTCACTTATCTCGAAACCCTTGGACACAGCATTGCTGTCATTAAAACAAATGACGGTTTTTAGATGTTAATAAAAAATGTTGGCATTGTATACAAATCGCTGGAACAGCTGATACAAGTTTCTACCTACAGTAAAGTGTTTTAATTTTAGTATTTTGTAATTTTATTTTAATCGTCATTAAGTCTAAAAGAATTTTGAGGTAAGTCTCAAAATAAACGTTTTTTTTAATATACTATCAGAATTCGAGATAGCGATTATCTCTATGTTTTATTGTATGGTCAAGGTTTTTTTTACACAAAACACGGCAGTAAAATCAATATCCAGGAAAACTGACGTCAATGACAGACCCTGAATATATTATAAGTTTTATGCGATTCCGAGTTTCAAAAATACAAAATTTATTCAAATTATTAATACAAAAATCCAATACAAAGAAAAATTCCTTAGTTCTTCTGTAGTGGAGTCACTTCACAAAAAACAATTCAATATCATGGTAGTAAAACATCGTGATATTTGAATAAACTTATTACAATGTAAAATTTCATTTGCATACACGTAATCAAAAGTTATTAACTCTAAGGATTTCTATTTGAAGAGAAAACTAAATACTATGTTGTCTTGACATTAATACAACCGCACACTTCACTTAACTACTATTATTTATTACCCGAGTTCTGCGACCGCCACAAGAAAATATAAGGTGCACTCGCTACCAGGATCCTAACAGCAAGTTCGGATAGAGTACAGGGACAAAACCCCCACTTTTCTCTCCGACAACAGTCTTGGTTATCTCTGACGAACTGAATAACTTACCTGTTTGAGGTTAATTTCAGTCAGCACTTGCATGGTTCCCTAAAATCTCTCCGTATTGAGTGTACTGTATCAACTTTTCTTAGATAATTTTTGATTTCGTCCAGAGAATTACTGCCGCCGTACTACTTCTGCCGCCGAGCAGTAATGCTCACGTTACTGCGTTGCGGTTTTGAAGGTAAGGGTGCAGGTGAAATTATATGTACATGGGACTTGTCAACTTATGTCTCATGGTGACGGGCGTAAGGGCAGGGCTTCTCAAATCTTTGGAAAAGCTCTGAGTGGCAACTTATTCGTCCCGTCACTTGGTACCTACTATAAAAAAAAACCTACAAGCGTCTCACGTCTTTGTCATCTCGTTTAAGATAACGCCACACTGTGGACTAGCCATCGCTGTTTTTGAGGAGTTAACTCGTGAACGACGCGACTTAAATAAGGAACGCGTTTTTTTTTAATTCAGATGAGTTTTTTTAGTAACAGCGCAAAATAATTAATAGATCTTATCTGCGTAATTTATACTTAGATCTAACTCTGTCGTCCTTATCATACACAAGGTAATGGACATTCTTCGAGAAATTGAGTTATCTATTAACATATCTGGAATCAGTGAAACGAGATCTAAATCCCCTATTGGGTTTTTTCATATCTTATTCACTTTCAGCTTTAAATCAGCGCAATGGACATTTAAATACAATATCTCCTAAGTTACCAAAGCGCAACTGCATTTTTTATGACAAGGAAGGCAGAACTCTTCGTCTTAACCTTACTGACTAAAAAAACCACTCACTTTATCAGTAGGTTTAGGCGAAAGTCCACTACTGAACTGTATAATTTTCTGTGTTGTAGGCAGGAATTGCGAGCAGCCAGTGTACGGAGACCGTGCTGTTGAGTCTGTACCTAAGTTTGATGAGTGCTCCAGAGCCACTGAGTATTCTTTGTCACCTCTCCTGAAAATTACATCTTGCCTTAAGTGAGGAAACCACGATTCACAAACAATCCTTTAATAAAGAGACAAATATAGACAAGAATGGTGAACTGGTCGACTGAATGACATAAGTGGGACAAGGACAGTGATATATGTAGCTGATATGTCGTGATGCCGGAAGGAGGGCTTCACAACCGTTGTTACGTCCCTTCAGTTCATCGCTGTAGTGTATTTATCTTATTACATATATTCTGCCATCGTAACGAAAACAGGCACAACTATGCGTACTTTATACAGTAGTTGTATCTTTTTTCGTTCTGAGGGCAGTATTCTTGTTGTATTTCGTTGATTTAACTTAGTATCTACTTAAATTCAGGGTTCGAATTGATAAGTATCACATTTTTTAAATTAATGGAAACAACAAAATGCTACCGCTAGCAATGTCGTGTCATGTATTTGTTGTATCAGAAACGTATCCAACAAACGTGTCAAAAACGTCACAAATCAAAACGTTGTCCCAAAAATTTTTCTTCGTGTTTATTTACTTTAGTTTTAGTCAAAAATTAAAGAGATAAAAATATAATATAAAAATAAGTCATACAGTGGTAAGAAACCTGATACTAGTGATAATCAGATAAAAATATAAATCATAAAACCATGAATCAGCAATCGAACCCTGTTCAAATTGTCAAAGCATCTTATGTCTTAGTGTTGTGGATTTTTGTCCATGCAATAAAAGCGTAAAAGTGTTGCGAACTTCGCTTCCGCTCGAACCGACGTGAAAAGCGAAACGTCTTTTTCGCTCTTATAACATAGACCTAAAGCTTTTTCTGATCTGATTAGTACAATGCCATGTCGATCAGTATAATGACTCCCTTGATCAAAATGTTTGAAGGGATGGAGTGTGACATGATTGCGACGCTCTGGATGTCATATAATAAAAAGGTTTATCAAATTAAGATTCATTTATTTATTATAGCGAAATTGAACAATACAAGTAGCAGTAGAGCTTCTTGTGAAAAAGTTCGTCCAGAGAAGTACTGCCAGTCTGCCACCTTACCTATTTCTGCCGCCAAGCAGTAATCTCAGCATTACTGTGTTCCGGTTTTGAAGGGTAAGGGTGCTGGTGAAATTACAGGGATTTCTGTCCACTTATGTCTCAGGGTGACGGGCGCAGTGCCGGTGCCCCTCAATCTTTGCGATTTAAAGCTCTGAGTGGCACTGATACAGTTATGGACAGGCATGTAGTTTACCATCAGCCGCACGACTTGTTCGCCCCGTCACTTTATATTATATCGTGACATCACCATAGGCATCAAGGATCAAGGATCAAGGATCGGCCTTGGGTAATACGTTGTTCCTGACATTCATCAACGATCTTGCGCACTATATATCGGAGGGCTTGGTGGTTCTGTTTGCAGACGACACTACTGTTATAGTGTGTGCTAAAGGCTTCACAGAATTGGACGAAAAAGTAACATACACGTACAGTCAGCTATGTGAATGATTTTCTGCAAATTGGCTTATTCCAAAACACGTCTAAGTCGAACCTAGTGTTGTTTTCACGAAGAAATTCTGTATCATGCCCAATAATCACCTCTGCGGTTCCACTTTGCAACACATGCAAGTTCTTGGGCTTCACTGTATACTCAAACTTAAGCTGGAAAGCCCATATTCAGTCTTTGTGCGAGAAACTTGAAGGTGCTACGAACGCACTGCGGAAACTGCTTCCCTTTGTGTCCACTGCGGTGTTGAGGCAAACGTACTTTGCATACATCCACTCATTGATGTCCTGTGGTATTACAATGTGGGGCAATTCATCTGAGTCCAAAAGGGTATTCATTCTCCAGAAACGCGCATTACGAACCATAGTGGGTATAAAAGATAATCAGTCCTGTAGAAGCATTTTTCGAAAGCACTACGTGATGACAACGTATTCACAGTACATTTACGATGTAATTGTTTTTGTGCGTAAAAACATAGAGATATACGAGCGGTACACAGGCGGAAAATAGGAATACTGAAACCCGTTGCTCATCGAACCGAACTCGCAACGAAAAATCCGCAAGTAATCGGGCCCCGACTTTACGAACACCTACCCACAAGTCTAAAAAGTGTTATAAATGACGAAGTGTTTTGTTCCCGACTGAAAGACCTTGTATTGGATAATGAATTCTACAGAGTATAGGAATTTCTTTTAAAAAAATTGTAATTATATTTTTAATTTTGGATGTTTGAAAATATTTAAATTTTTATTTGTATTTTTGTACTTCGTATTTTTATTTATTTCTCTTTTAATTATTTTATTTTATATTAACATTAAAATTATTATTTACCTTAATGACGATCATGCTATCCCTTGACATTATATTTCGAATTGCGATATTATAAAAATGATAATATGAAATAAATTATTCACTTTCTGTAAAATGAGCACATATAGTCCCCGAATAAAGGATAGAAAATTTCATTAAAATATCTCTGATAACAATCGATTGAAACCGATTTTTCCATATAGGTACGCAGTAAAAAATGAAAATTTTGCGATTTCTTTGAACCTTGTGATTTTATTTCGATCAAAGTTTAGTCAATTGTGTTTCGTGTCCCATAGTTCACTACCGGTATCGTCTGATTTCATTATCAATTAAAAAAAAAAACAAGTAGAGTTCATATTTTTTACAGTCGATAAACTGATTTTTCGGTTCACTTCACCTTAACGTTCACTCACGTTGTGTGTCACTATTAAGCCCTAAAGTAAAGGTGTTTGAATAACACCTAGCAACAAAACACCTGTATCCATAATTCGACTGAGAAATGTGAAATTAAAAAAAAAGAAACATTATGATAAGATGTGTACACTCAGTCAATTTGGTAACATTCGCTTTCATTTTGCAACAAGTTACTGATTAAATTCCGGGTAGCAATTTCTGGTTCTAATTATTTTACTCAAAACGATACTTTGCATTTGTAATAAAAAATGTCATATGATTAATTCCGAATTATTTAATTCGAATTATTATTATTTAATTAAGTCATTCACTCATTATTTAATTATTCTGATCAATAGTCGTACGCGACTGTACTCCGCCCGACTCGTTCGTCTCGTGTAAGCCAGGAGCCCAATACGACATACATATCTACACTAATGAATATGACAATCGATAAAGCCTAATGCCATTTTGGAAAAATAACTATATTTATTGCTAATTTCCTTGTATTAAAAACTAAACATTATTAAAACCTTCAAATAGCATGTATTTAAAAAATAATAATAACAAATTCTGTATATTATGCAAAAAATGTACATGAGCTCGGAGATTAACATAAATATAACCTAGAAATAAAAAATCGATTGTTCTTCTAAACAAAGGAGCGACTAATGATAAAAGTTTGGGACTAGAACCGACTAATCCACGACTTTTTCTGGGTGTAATCAGATCTAAGCTAGGAGTTGTGGTTCTCGAGATTCGGAAATGGTGTCGCCGCACCCGAATAAGCTTATTCTAGCGTGGACAGTAAAACACCTTAATAACTTCAAAATTGCGTAACGACTAAATCTACGACTAAAACCGACTATATCACCATTTTTAGTGTAATCAGATCTCAGCTAGGTGTTGTGGTTCTCGAGATTGAGAAATGGTGCCACTGGAATAGCTTATTCCAGCGTGTACAGTAAAACACCGTTATAACTTTTGGTGGACCGACTAAATCTAGTTTTTTACGACTAGAACCGACTAAATAGCGACTTTTTTTCCTGGCTAGTCAAATTTCAAAAACTCGATCATGGTCATGCTGGAATAACACACGCGTTTGTAAATATTTTAAGCGGATGCTGAGAATGGCAAGACATATTTTGTGTATGTATGCCCTCTGAGTCAGCCCTATATTGTATATCTAGCTAAAGCAGGCTGCTATAATAACCCTAAGTCAACAGGTTCGTAACAATATCATTCTGCCAGCGATAATACAATCATGTACATACTCGTAGCTAATAGACTTCATGCTAGTCTAGATATAAATGTTGTAATCTGATAAAGGATCGAATTGTAGACACATTCAAACAGTTGTTTGTGGAGTTGTAGTATAGATTACAAGTCCACATAATGTAGTTTCTTTTAGTAGTGTGTGTACGATTGCATTGTTGATGTTTAGAGGACAGTCTTACGAGCATGTATATGGGTCAATATATTTATTTACCGATATTGTGATCATTGCACTATTTTTAAATGGTATCTTTTTGATATTAATTTGAACTGATATTACGGTAGTGATTAAAAACTTAACAAATAAAATTACTCATTGGTGTTTGGATATACCTACTTTAATACAATGTTTGACCAAATTAAAGACAAAAAACCATTATATCTTATATTAAAATGTGAAACAAGAAAATATTGATAGTTTATCAGAAATTAATAAAAAAAAACCCTTTAAATTATTGTAATAAAAATTACTTAGGCGGTTGTTCGCTTGTAGTGTTTATGTCGCAGACGTGTTGTATAAAACGCCGCATTACATTATGGCTAGCCACTTTGCAATACATCCCTGTTTTCTAATAGGGCTACCTCGTGTTCAGCCGAATTGCAATTCGCCTAAAAAAAGTACGCCGCATTGTGATAGCACATGGCGTTTCACAAAGCGGCTAGGAAATGTGCCGCCGGAATACAATTTATGCTGCTTTGAGATAATTAGTTCCAAATATAGCCGCCAGTAGAGCTATATTATCATAACAATAAAAATTGCGTCTCAAACAGCAACAATGTCAACAAAGTGCAAACAATATTAGGTTCAGGAATGGAAAAAGTAAAAATATGCGTGAAAATTGTGAATAATGGTGAACATAAGTAACAAGTTATTATACATATGTATTATTCAAATTCGTAAATTCTTTACTTTCTTGAGTCTGTACTTGTACGACTCATGCAACAGCCATGTAAACATCTACCCATTGTCATCTTACGAATGTAAGACAAAAGTTACCGAGTGGTTTCGAAGCCTATCCTACGAGGACACTGAAAAACTCCTTAGCGTAACTGGTTAGCCCCACACGTTATAGGTATGTACAATTTGATAGAAATCCCAAAAATGTACCTTTATTTATTTTTCATTCATCCAATTTTTTTTTAACTAGTAAAAATTCATAGTTACGGTGACATTTTCCCTGTGAACAATACGGCTAAATGTGTGCAGCCGCTTCGTAGAACGTATCGTGATCACAATCCGGCTGAACATGAGGTAGCCGTATAAAAAAACAGCCCCGTTTTGCAAACCGGCTAGTAGCAATATAATACGGCCCCTTATACAATGTGGCTGCGACATTTACACTATTATTCGCGGGAAAAATTGTATATTTACTTTTAAATGTAAGATAATATTTTAGTATTTTACTATGGATATTAAGATTTGTCAATGCGAATATTATACATGGTTACTCTAGTAATTGGTCATAGATTTTAAAAGTGCAAAAGTGCATTACAATTTTACAGATTTTTAAAGATTCCCATGAACAATAATACAAAGTTAGTTTGTTATAAACATGCAAGAGTAGATAGATAGTGTGCAAAATACACACTTGCAAACTTGCAATATTCGTGTGAGATTGTTGGTTTTATTTTCCGTAGAATAAATATCAGGATCACCGAATAATTACAAAATTAATTGGAAAATAATTCTGAAAAAATTACGAGTTGTATTTTAAGCGGGAAAATCCAAAAATGCAAAAGAAAATACGGTAAACGCTTTTACACGTTTGTTCGGTGGGGCCGTCGACTAGTGTTGCATCAGTAAAGCGTCTAATTAGTAATTTATTTTTTGGCAAGTAGGTGTTGCAAAGAAGGATGGCGACTACCCTTGTATTTTGTGACCCAGTGTTTTTGACTACGTGCATTAAAGAGACCTCAATCAATACTTGTGATTCATTATAACAGCATCAAAAAAGCTAATTGAGTACTGCGTGTAAAAGCTGGGGTTATAAACTTAATATAGGTTATGTTTATAACCAGGGATCGGAATAGGTAGAGTTTTTCCGAAGAACATAGACAGAAAATGGAGACTGCCTTACGACAATATTTTTAGGTACCTTTTCGGGATTCGGGGAATCATTTAAGAAAATTAAAAATTTACGTAATTGGGGACAGGTAGGTACACTATATTTATCTTAATTTTGCTGCGCACAGTGGATCGGATCTGCGATATTGCGGACATTGGATTTTTTTCACGATACCTCTTTAACAACAATGCCAATCGAGAGATCTTATTGTCTTAATTAAATATTGTCATATCACATTTTGCCATAAATCCATTGACTTACAAATAAATGGACGACGGGTCTAATACAAAAACCACGAAAAAAATGTCCCAAGTCAACCTATTTAAACGTAGTGACATGTAAATGAATATGAAAAAGCTAAAACGTTGAATTTAAATTGTAATGTCATCGCAGTACTGTCTAATTTTGCTTGCTTCGCTGTCAGTCGAACAAACGAAGACTAAAGCGTGAATGAAGCTCTGTATACGATTTTAACGCCCTATAAGTTTGGACACTTTTTAGCGCGGACCCGACGTCCATATAAATAAAAAATAAAATGTGTATTTTTTCTATGGGACCATACCTTTAGTGCCCCATTGTTACAAAGTCTTAGTTGATCCAGTCTTGGAATCACTATAGACGTATTACTAGACCTATCTTCTATAGATATGCACACTAAACGCTCGCCCAAACCTACATATTCACTACTTACACGCGTCAGAAAATGTGCAAAAATTGCTCATACATACGTTTATTGGTTCAATACATTAATTAGCAGTGGTCGGAATCGGTAGGGTTTTTTCAAGGAACATAGACAGAAAATGGAGACTGCCTTACGAGAATATTTTTTAGGTCCTGGTTTTTTTTGGAGATTCGGTAATCACTTGAGTACATTAAAAATTGACGTTATTTGGGATAGCTAGGTTAGACTATATTAATTTTATTTTTGCGACGAGTTGTTACAACACCAATTTTTCAGAATATTTAGGAAAATTCCTACAAAAAAATTATTAATATTTTTCTAAAAGTATACATTTTACAAGACTATCTCCCGCATAACTAGAAACAGTTACTTAATACATTTAATTATAGTTAATAAGATTTGTATTACTAACATTCTGTTTTATGGACATTCCTGCAGAATCCTATTGCAACGACTCTTCGTGTTCTAGGCATTCTAGGTATTAACTTTCTGACTCGATTTTCATGTCATAATCAGAAAACTACTGCATGCTTAACACATTTTGCCAGCCTTCTTTAAAATTAAAAAGGGTGCTACATATAAACAATAGTAGATAGTAATATCGGAATAGATTGAGTATATTTACCTAAATTTCAAAGAAGGATTCCACGTAGAGTGGATAATACCGCACTCTGAAATATCGGAATGATAATCACAATGTTTTCATCCCGGAATTTTAAAAATTACGAATTATTTATTGCACTTTGAATACATTGATAACAAATAATTAGTTTTTAGGGTTCCGAACTAAAACTGTTTTAAATTAGTCTCTTGCTTCACATATAGGAAAATAAAACTAAATTGGTTGGTTTTTCGTGTTTATTTGTTTCAGAAGGAAATTAAAACTTCTGTTACGAATTCATACTGATGTTTTGTTATTCAGGTAATTACTGTAGTGATTGCTAAACTGGATCGACTAAAACTTCGTAACGGTGAGGCAGTAAAAGTATGGTCCCATACAAAAAATACACATTTTATTTTTTTCCTACTAGACTATTAGACTTATGGCAAAATGTGATATGACAATATTTAATTAGGACAATTGGATCTCTCGACTGGCATTTTTTTAAAGAGGTATCGTGAAAAAAATCCAATGCAATATTGCAGATCCGACCCACTGTGCCGCAAAGATAAATATAGTGTACCTACCTATCGCCAATTACGTCAATTTTTAATGTACTTAAGTGATTTGCCGAATCCCGAACAGGTGCAGGATCTATAAAATGTTGTCGTAAGGCAGTCTCCATTTTCTATGTTCCTCGAAGTTTAGGTAAAAAGACTCTACCTATTCCGATCCCTGTTTATAACATTGTCCTGTATTGCGCTTCAGATGTTTGTTTGTAGTAGCAGAAAACAACAAGCTTTCAGTCTGTTCCTAAAAATAATAAAGAACTTGCAGAATATTCCTAAATCTGCCAAACTCTGCCACATTTAATATAACATTAACATTAACTATACAGTGGCGCCACTGTAAAAAAATCATCTGACTATTATAGAGTTAAGAAAATGGCAGAACAGTGTGACCATGTTACTTTTTTCCAATACAAAATAATATATTATTCTATGAATAAGTGTTGTTCGTCAGGATAAGTACAAATTATCATTGCAAATGCTAGGTTTTATAAAGTCTAGCATGTATTAATACAAATAAATGCATAAATATTTTTAAACCGAAAATGTTTATTATGTTGTAGTGAGTTTTTTTGGCTTTGTGAAATCTTAATATCGGATACCTACGCGAACCGAATATTGGATATCTGATATTAGGACACTTTTTTAAATGAGAACTACAAAGTTTTGCATACATGCATTTAATATATTTTTGTGTTCTATAAAAAATCTAATATATGTATATAAGTTGAAAATAATTTTTTTATGTTTGAGTTTATTATTTTTTGGAAGAATGTTAAAGTTCCTTTTAGATCTCTAATAAATACAAGTTAATCTTTTTTATGTTTAAGTTCCTAATTAGCCAATCAAAGATTGATTACAAGTGTGATTATTGCTAATAAATACAAATCAACAAATTGTTTGATTAGTTTCATTTATTATAATTATTGTCACTTAATATCATATTCACAAAAAATATTATTGGGACCGTAAAACCGGCTAGCTGTGGTTTTAGGCAACCTTTGAAATCCATTGATTTTTACCTTTTTTTATAAAACGTACTGTAGCTTAAAATATTTAATTAGAATATGAAAAATTTGTATTAAGTATTCCTTATAAATCTTACAATAAAGACTACTTTAAGTTTAAATTTAAAGTTCTTAAGCGTTGATTACTATTGCTTTTAATTTTTCAAACAAAAGTATCCGACATTTGGCGCTTCTCCCCTACCTAACGCGTCTGGGCGACCTAGGACCATCCTCTTAGCGCTCATTTCCTTTCATGTTAGTCGTACTCCGCATATGTCGCATATTTAGTGGACATCTTTCGTATAAGAAGTTTGTGACGCATATCGACCTACAAAATTTTACTAGTCTACAAATGAGTCTACCTAAATTCAGAATATATGACATGAGCGATAAAGTTGAACTAACTTGAAATGTTCTCTTGTTAGTAGCAGCATCCTTCCGACTAAATCTGTGGTTGATACTCCAGCTGTCCTCGGTACTTCTCTGTAACAAACAATCTTTACTATTTTAATGGTTACGATTATGAATACAAAAATCAAACACGCAGATTTTTATTTTTCCGTCGACCCGGTGGGACTTGAACCCACGTCCATGCTGCACCGTAACATTGCTTTAACCAACTGAGTCACGGGTACAATTACCGAGTCGTCGAAATTCTCCTGTGTTTTTGTTATAGATCATTATACTGACTTTCGGCCGTCGCCGCTAGTGATATCTAGTGAGAGATGATTAATCTTCTCATCGCAGCAGATACCTTTACAGGTATCACAACTAACGCAGATGTTGCTTTTCGATCAAATGTATTTATTAAGAAAAACGCGCGGTACAACGGATTTTTTTTCTGTGTGTTCGATCTTTGTAATCATAATCATAACAAAACTAGTGAAGTTATTTCACAAAAAATCTCAATAAATATATTTTTATCGTCATTGAGGCTGTTCTACATGATGGAGTTTCACCTCGAATAAACTTGAGTAAGCTTAATAACGTGTTTGTATAATGTGTGCGTACTGCGTATGCTCATCTTTCGGGAAAACAGCAACCAACAATGAAAACTACAAAGCGTATCGTTGTCCCTTATGTAACTTTAGTTGCGATGAATATCGATCGTGTATCCTTACTTATAATGATTTGGAAACCGCGGTAAGATTCTTTCGTTCTGAGTAATCGTAGTTTACGATATAGAGAATTATAACAAAAATACCACAAATCTAGTGATAACATGATATCACAATTCTAGATAGTAAGATTTTCGGACAGTTTTAAGGCATTTTTACACACAAGATCTATCTACTACATATTATCTTGTCATAACGTTAAAATAACTATCGTTATAATCACAAATTTATCCTTGCAAATTAACATAACAATTAAATCAAAATCATATATTGGGAACTACAAATAATCGCACATCTGTAGTATCATTGCCTTACAATTTATATTATCATTGATTGAAAACCTACTTGCATGCTGACAAAGTTCCTATGTATATGTACAGTCAACGGCACATCAAGCTATACACTTTTGTTCGAAAATAGCCTCTAGTGTATAGGAACAAGATCGGTCAATGTGTAGCCTGATGTGCTGCCGTTTGTACTTGTGAATATATTAATCCACAGTCATGTAATTTAATTAGTAATATATAAAAAATAAAAATAGCCTTATTTAAATTTTTATTGAATTGATATTCTATTATTTGTTACGTGAAATCACTCTAGTTTGTTATAATTACTAATACTTTCAATCAGGCAAGATCAAAGGAATTTTTTCTGAGTGTTCAATCTTTGTATTACTAATTATAACAAACTAGCTTTTATTTGCTGATTACTTCTACTAGTTTCACATAATGCTTACTTTAATAATTCTTAATTTTAACATAGGCATCGGTTTTGGTTCTAATCAGGTTGTCCTCTGATAATAGGCGTCCTCCATGTTTCTGCTCTCCTCTCCTCTCTAATTAGTAGTACACTTAGGGCAAACTGGATTTAAGACAGGCTTTTCAAAACTTGGATTTGGCCTCATCATTGCATAAACTTATACAAATAGTTAAACAGCCACCCCAAGTTCAATAGCAAATATTATTATTCTAATCCTTCAAGAGTTAAATAGTATTGCTCACCTGTATCTGCCTGCTTTTTTCACCATATAATATGTATCTATGCCATCTGCCGTTACAGTTATGTCATCTAAAACAAATGTTAAAATAGAAAACTATAGTTAGGTAACTGCTTTTATTTGAACAATTGAAATTGAAAACTGCTTTTAATTATTTTTTTTATTTTTTTTTGTTTTCTTTATTTTTATTTCTTTTGTTTATTTTTATAGTGTATAGTTTATAGCGTGATATCTGTCAGTAGTTTCTTATATATTGATTTATAAAACATAAAGTTTCTAAAAATACATGAACAAACATTCAAATACAACACATATACTTGTTATTGCATAGAAGAATGAAAACAAATAAAAGGCTGCCTACTAGGCAGCAATGTCATAAGGTCTTATCAATTTCTACATTTACATATATACACTACATCAGTTTAAAATCAACAAATTTATTCAATGTTTCACTACAATAACTAACTTAACTATAAAATAAACAAATAACTTAACTTTAGACCACAACTTATTAGTAAATAAATAAAGCATATTAAAAAAACATAAAAAAGAAAGGAAAAGGTTTTGTTTCCATTTATGTAAATGTTAGTTTTCAACACATATATAATCCACTAGTGAATATAAGTCCTCTTTAACTGTTGTCATTACTAGTGACATTAAAGTGACAGCAATCTGTGACACTGTGTAGAAATGTTTACCAATGAGTACTCCCGTAGTCCAACTTACCAACACCGGTTAATGTCCTATTAGAGCTTAGCGAAATTTTTTTTTTTTTTTTCGTTTTTTTTCTTTCAACTGTGACATTGGCAAAATCATCAGTTCTCATATTGATGGAGCCATAAAAATAAAAAGTGAAGTGAGTGAAAGAATGAAAAGAATTTAAAATAACGCTGCCCATCATATCTACCTTGCCATTGTTTTTATTATTCATAGTATGTTAATATAATTATAAATGTTGTAATAACTATCTTACCTCCATGTACACAGAAGTCACAATTGTATTTGTCTAATGTATCCAAAGTTGTGACATAAGGTGCCCCTTCAACAACTTGGTCTACCCATTTGATAGCTTTTACCATCTTGTACCGTTCTTCCTGAGTAAATACAGGAGGCCCTTTATGCTTGGATATTTCTTCATCTGTATGTACTCCTACTATTAACACATCACCAAGTGCTTTTGCTTGTCTGAGAGAGTTAGCATGGCCAAAATGTACCATGTCATAGCTGAAATTATTATGGAATTCTGTACTCAGTCTTATTGTTAATCTATTTAAAATCTGTGAATAATGGGCATGAGTGTCGTACAATGGAAACATAAATTTTTTTTTTAATAAGTGGCTTTATCAATTTGTCACAGTCAATTTATATAGGTATACTTATTTAGTATTCAATTATAATTCACGCCACTAAAATGTCTGTATCATATTCCTTAGATTAAATAATTGCTTAATTAACTTTAAATTTATACATTTAACTGGATGTATAAATGGACATTAAAAACTTAACAACTTTGACTAAATACATTTCTTAAAATTTATCTGATAACGTTGAAAATTTTATGGGAAAATAAGGCACAAACGAGCGTGAAGTGAGAGAACCTTGGCGCCGGATGTTATGCTCTACACATGCTCTGTTTTCAGATTGGTAAAACTTCAATTTAAAAACAGCCGTACGCAAACTTTTCCATAAAACTCCTGATACCGCACTTATAATACTAACATTAATTTATAGATAATATGGCAATTAAAATAAAAACATTTACTCACCATCCATCACACCATACTCTAATTTCTTGTCTGTCTTGTTCACAATTCTTTACTGGAATCTAAATAAAAAGTAACCATTCACATAGATGCAATAATAAGTAATTGATTTTATATAAAATAAATTAAAAATATTTATTCGATCCATCTACTAAACTCACCATATTATTCCGTGAAACACACTTTCTCATTGACAGCACAAGTATCACTGACTGACGTTTTTGTGTTACTAAGTTGCCATAATAAATTCCATAATACTGCAAAATTATACCATCTACTTCTTGGCGTGTCGACTCTGACTTTTATATTTGTGAGGACAAGTACTTAGCGACTGAAATAATGTTAGCAGAAGCGTTGTACAGGTTCTCGCATGTGCAAGTGTAGAGACACGCAGGGCAGGACAAAAGATGTGCTATTGTCTAGGGAGAACACCACACGGACATGCGCTCTCCGAGCGGTAACCTCACCCGTGCACGCACTCCTTGCTTCGATCGACTTTGGTCCGCAGCCTATTTAGGGATTTTTTGCTTTGGTAGATATTTGGTAGATAGAGAGAGTGTCGCCGTGGGGGTATTTCTCCTTCCAGTGACTTATTCGGGCCTGTTTAGTTTCCCCACCCAGAGGGTATATTTCTTTAATGAAGCTATGGCGACTCTTTAGCCTCTAGAATACTGGCACGTGATGGTGTAATGGGTGCCGCGGGTCAGTCTCTTTTTTGAAGCGTTTCAGGGGGCTAGCCACGTCTCTACGGACATCCGGAGGGGCAACACCAGCAAATTGGTATATCATACCGATAGGGGTTGGTTTCAGACAGCCAGTAATAATTCGACTTTAATTATGCCATTACAAAAATTTACTTTAGTTATGCATTATTTTAATAATAATATAAAATAACAGCGTTGTTTAGTTTCTTTAGAATATGCTAACCGAGGGAATACAACAAAAAATCAGACCAGCGACTTGCTTAGTAACTGATTAGTTCCAGTATCTTTGAATTTTTTATTTAGTCGAAATTATGAAAAGAAAAAAATCGAAAATTATGTTAATTTACACGTAATTAAGTTGAGAAGTTAACTTCTCAACTAGTTTATAAGGAATAGATATAAGATTAAAGCCCTTGTATGACGTATAATGACTCCCGCTCAGTACTATAAGGGAGTAGGCAGAGGCTGAAAAACAGCGCTGCACGGTACCATCGCCGTTTCAGCATAACCTGAGCCTTGCCTATGCCTTTTGTCTCAATTAACTTTTGCTTTTTGACTGCTTTGCTATATATAATTTTTTTAATGTTATTCTGAGACAATAAATTATTTATTTATTTATATTTACTTCATTTAATGTCAATAATAATAAGAATAACATATACCATTTCTTCATTTCCAATGAGAAAGAAAGTCTTTCCGAGCTAGTGAGGTGAAAAAAAATTGTATTACCTGTTAAAGGTAACTTACCAAACAGTTACCATCGATGACATTTAAAAAAACAAACAAACGTTCATTATAAGAATAAACAGGATAAGATAAAACGTATACCTATGTAGTGGAACAACAAATGACACTATAAAATAATAACGTATATATTTAAGTAAAAAATAATAATAAACTAGCTATTAAATTAACATTTTTAGAAATCGAATTACGCAACGTTTATTGAGAACGGTAAAATTTAAGGAAAATGCATTTTTTTAGATTTGTGATAAACAAAGTATCAATAATAAGTAGTATCAAGTAGTATCAAATAGAAAAAAATTAAAAATTGTACCAGTTACAGTTCATTATAATTAGTAATACAAAGATCGAACACTTAGAAAAATTTCCTTCAATCCGACTGGATTCGAGCCCACGTCTTCCAGCAAATCGTGTCGGACGCTATGTCAACTAAGCCAGTTTATGAAGTAGTATTAATAATTATGACAAAATAATGGAGTAATTGGACAAAAATAATTGAGTATCATGGTTGTCAAACATTCAATGAACTTAAAAAGTTACACAGTGTTTTATAAACCTCAATTTTGGGACATGCCCTTTTTCTCTGAGATTTCTATAATTTACACTAATGCAAATGCGGGAGTATAACACCAGTGTGACCACGGAAGAAAAAAAACAACGGAAGTGCCTTAAGCCTCGATTATTATCGGAAGCGATGTCGCCAAAACTCACATATACTTGTTATGAAACGCTACAAAATCTTGATATGGATTGGTCGTAATTCAAACTTAAAAAGAATTAACAAATCGACTGGGAACTGGCAACCGGTATATTTTGACAACTTTACAGGATGAAGAAAAAAGTTGTTTATGTCATTTATATAGCATATGGTTTATTAAATAAAAATATGTAGTTTTTAAATGTTTTTATTACGCATGTTATTGAAAACAATGGAATTTTTTGCAACACTGCGGAGTATGAAATAGTTTAAAATGTTATTAAAAAGTGAAGTCTTTAGAATATTGAGAGTTGCCAGGTCACGGTCGAAATTCTGGATTGTTAATATATTTTAAACTTTACCCTGTTGGCATATCGTTGAAAGTTCAATACCTATTATAACTACTTACGACGTTTTGTTATTTATATTATTATATTGAAATTTCAATCAATGTGCTGCCATCTAGCAGTTCATTGTTGAATGACGACGAATTGAAGTTATTTATTTAGTTCTCCAAACCAAAAGCGACCATATTGCAGGAGCGTAAGTTTTACTTTCGTTTCTTGTAACAAAATAATTATTATCACGAACAAAAAATTGAAAATTTATTTAAATAAAACTTTCCGATGATATGAAATACCAACACGGGTAATATTTTTTAAGGCTACATTTTCGAACTCCAAAACAGCACAATAAGGCATTTTTGTAGGATTTTAGAGAACTTGCACGAAAGGATGACGCAACCATACCATACAAGCGGACTGAGCTGAGGTAGGTCTTTCGAAACCTATAACTGGCACGTGTCGGACGCTAAATAACCACTTTTACTGTATTTACTGTTCTGTGGATGTAACAAATATGTATAGTTTCAGAGCGAAAATTGAAAATGAGGTAATTTTCGTCCGAAGAAACAACAAAATTCATAGTTTATTATATTTGAAAATTATTGGCCAACCTGACTTAGTAGTTCAATAAAACCACAAATGACACTCATTTTAAACTAAATGGCAACGACAAAGGTTCATTTGTTACGGAATTATTTGTTTTTTTCCGTTTTTATTTTTTTCCTTCAATAATTACTACTAGATTTTTACCCTAACCACTGCTTTAGCTGTCTTCTATATACACTAAAATTATCATTAACAAATTCCGTTGGTTATTGTGATTATTAGCCAAAAAACAAATAACGGAAGTTTTCCGGGTTGTGCTGAAAATATGTTTCAACCGACTAAAAAACAAAAGGTTTTTTGTGCGATCTGTACCTGCGTATTCTTTAATGGTAAAATACTGACTAAAATAAAAAAAAATGATTTCTCTCACCGTCGATTCGTTAGTCTCATTCAAAATTTCTGTTTGGCTTTCATTCACTGCATGTCGGTTACAGCTTTTTTTAAACAGAAACAGTATTTAGACATCTGAAATCTCTGAAACCATAGAAGTTCAGTAAGGAAACTGTCTTAAAAACCGTAAAATCATTTTTGTGAAAACATTAAAGGCGTTGTCAGTTTTTGGTCAAGAGTGTGATTTGTCCATAAAAATGAATAAAATTGATTACATTTTTTTGTGCTGATTGGCTTAATTTCATGTAAAAGTCACTTCGCTGCATGAGACGAAAAAATCGGGACAGCAGACGGTATAAAAAAGCTTTTTATTAAATTTGACCAACTCCTGCTCTCCTAATTATTTCTGCCGGTAAAATAAAATGTTTAAAATAAGTGTCACTTATGGTTTTATCGAACGACTAAATCGGTTGGCCAATAATTTTCAAAAATTATAAATTATGGTTTTTTCCTGAAATCTATACATACTTGTCACACCAGTGTTCTACTCTCGCATTTGCATTAGTTCAAAACTATAGGAATCGGGAGGAAAAAGAGCATGTCACAAAATTGAGGTTTATAGAACATTGTAAGTTACGATAATTCAAACTCACTTGAATCACTCGACAAACCCGTGTTAATAGGACCACATGGAATATACGAACTATAGGCCTATAGCAATCTTATCAGTAATAGACAAAATTGTTGAAAAAATTATAGTGAAACAAATGAGTAGTTTTTTAGAACGTTATAATATAATTTCCAATTCACAACACGGATTTAGAAAAAATAGAAGTACTAGCACAGCACTGACACAATTTTCAGATTTTATCAATGAGAACCTGGATTGTGGGAATCAGGTAGTTGCATTGTTCATTGACTATAAAAAAGCCTTCGACACCCTCGACCCTGAAGTGTTACTGAAATCAATGTCTGAATGTGGTATTCGGGGTCCAATAAACACCTTTTTTAGAAATTATTTGTTCAACAGAACATTATGCGTTTCGGTCGATGGTGTGGTGGGTGAGGAAGCTAAGGTCACGTTGGGCGTTCCAACTGGCTCCGTGTTCGGCCCAATAGGTTATATTATACACGTCAATAGCGTAAAAAATGTCATTAAAAATTGTTATGTGTTAATGTACGCAGACGACATGTGTTTGTGTTTCGCATCAAAAAATGCATTAGACATTAAAAAACATATTCAAGACGATTTAGAGAATGTTACGAAATGGGCACACGATAATGGCATTATTATAAATATGGCAAAAACCAAATGCGTGCACATTCACTCACCGCATAATGTACAGGCAAAGAAAGTTACGTACAATGACATATCAATAGTCGGACACAATTATGAGTGTTTACATAAAAATAAAGTAGGATGTACTTGTACTAATCTAGAATATGTTGAACAATTTAAATATTTAGGTCTCATTATAGAACGTAATTTTAGTTGGAAAATACATGTTAGTGAAGTGTGTATGAAATTAAATAGATAGATAGATAGATAGATATACACTTTATTGCTCACATACAATAACAAAAACAGTACATAGACAACTTAAAACTAATGTGGGCAAAGGCGGTCTTATCGCTAAGAGCGATCTCTTCCAGACAACCTTTGAGGTATAGGAAAGCTAATCTAAGGAGAAGAGGTAGTGTGCCAAAGTCAGAAACGTATAAGTAGTATAATATATATATATATATCGAATAATAAATAAACAAATAACGGTGTACTAGACTTACATAATATATTTGTAAATAATAAAGAAATATATATACCTAAATATACTTATACTTACCAATAAATATATAAATACATGTTGCATACTAGGAACGTTTCAGAAGATAGTTACGCAATGCAGTTTTAAAAATAAGGAGCGACTTGGAATGTCGTATTTCAGACGGAAGTTCGTTCCACAATTGTGCAGCCATAATCGTAAAGGAGTTCATGTAGTATCCTGACCGGGTGAAGGGAGGGACCATAAATAGAATGCTTGGTAGGTTTTTTCACTTAAATTGTATATTGGATAAAAAAACATTGTGTATGGTGTATTATGCGCTGGCAGACTCGCTAATAAGCTATGGATTAAATGTATATGGTCGGACCTTTGCTAGTTATCTTAAAGGAATCAGAAAGTTACAAATTAGTCTGATAAAACATTTAGTGTGCAAAAAAGTAATAGAAAAACGTAAACACACAGAGTACAATGACTTATTTAGTTACTGTAGGGTCATGCCTGTAGAAGTTAAGAGTAGGTATTTGATAGTGTTGGAAAATTACTATAGCGATAATTATAAAGTTAGGCTTAAAAATAAGTACATGACAAAAAGAGTAAGGCAGGGTAAACTAGTGCAGTTTAAAGCAAATAATTATTATGGAAAAAGATGTACACGCTATTTAGTTCCAAAAATATATAACGACATTGATTGGCTTAGAAATGACACAAAATGAAGTAAATATGCACTAAAACGTAAGTTAAAGGCGTACCTCTTAAAATAATTTTTATCTTTTATTTAATAAGTTAGTGGTTCAATTGTATAATGTTAAATATAGTAAAGTAGGTATTATTAAGTAAGAGTGCACATGTCGCCAACAAACTGCACAGCAGTTTGGCGACTTTTTGTAATAAGTAATACGTTGTAATTTTGAATAATAAATAAATTTAAAAAAAAAAAGGATAAAAGACAATAAAAGTCGAAAATTTTAATTTTTAATTAGATCCAAAATAAAAATAACTAGCCAGACTATCGGGAAAATGCTGCAACGTTATGTTATTTTTACTACTGTTCCGCTAAATGTGCCGATGTTTGTAGAAAACATGAGAAAATGTGCACTAATAAAAATGTATGTTTTCGCACAAATTAATTTACTGGCAACATCAGAGAATTAAGAGCAGCCCACACATACTATATTCAGCCGCCCACTCATTACTCCGCGCATCCTATCAAAATCAATTTCAAATGGGACAAAATAATGTAGATAGTCTGCTTCCTCTGATATAATATCAATTATTGGAAACTAGTTTCCAAAGCTTTTTTCTCGAAATGCTTAGGTGTTTGAATTGTATCTGTCTTTTACAAGATATTTTTTTCTACTAGGTATTAGTAGGTACTTCATCCGCAAACTCTCGAAAAGATATAAATAATAAAGTAGGTATATACATTTAAATGTCAAGTTACACATATTTTGCCTACATACAATTTACGTAAGGTATGACACGGTACAAAATGAATTAAGTACTTTTATGTACCAAATGTAATTAGAAGTGTATCATGATGTATTGCCAAGCCCACAATTATAATAGTAGTACGTACATACGATACGATTCAATCTAATCGCCGGGCGGCGCTACTGCAAACTTAATTGGCTCAAATCGAGTCACGCCACCACGCCACTATGACGAGTGGTCGCGAGACGGCTTCGCTTCGGACTTTGAAACCCGGAACGTTCAAGCACTACCACACAGAGGTTATTGAAGTTATCGGATGAATTTATCAATGTTACAGGCCTATAACTTTACAGGTCTTGCTGTCATTCAATTATGAATAGTAGATCTTTCTTATTACTTTTGAATAGTGACCTAAACATAAGTAGGATTACAATCTAATACAAAACTTTGTAATATTATATTTAACTCTTACCAATACAATTCGGTTATTATCATCAGTTTTGTTGTAATAAATAAATAAGTAAAAAAAAGACTAATCAGCAAAGGTAGCTATTGTTTACAGCAACAGAATTACAATAATTATTTTTTCAATTCTTATGATTTTAAAGTTCGTATTTATGCTGGGTGTAGGCTGCATAAAATAGGATTTTATGCTCTAGTGCAAAAAATAAAAAAACATTAAATATGTCTGATTGTTGTAATTTTACATTCAATTTTAATTCAATAATCGTTTATTTGTAATATTGTTGTTTAATTTCCTCGCAATCGAAGTGAAAAGCAGAGTGTATAATTCGTTCATAAAACCCATTTTATCCTCGACTTCAGTATCCAACCTCGCTTCGGGTAAAATGACGCGTTTTATGCGCTGGTTGTACAATGTACTATTAATAGGTAACATCAATTATTTGAGGAGCTTCGTGGTCGATTGGCTTACATGGTGTCGTCATCTCTGAGGTCCCAGGTTCGATTCCCGGCCGGGTTAGTGTAGAAATTAAGTTTTCTCTGTTGTTTTGCAATATCCATAACACAAGTGTTTTAGCTACCTACTTACTTTGGGATCAGTGCAACGTATGTGATGTTGTCTAATATTTATTTGTAGTCTCGTCAAAAAAGTGTCTCCAAGCATCAGTTAATTCCTAAAAAAACTTACACCATTCTTAGAAACATCACGATCGTAGCAAGTGGAAGACTGTTGTCTCTACCTACCCCTCGGAAAAAGCGCGTGAAGAATACGTAATATACTATATATAGTACTTACATATCGTCTGCTTAAAGGTAAAACCACATAAGTGACATTTCCACAAAAAATCTCCAAATCATGTACCAGTTGTAAGAAATTCACCATCTTTCTCCAGATAAAACTCTTAATAAGTTTATAGATTTTTTGTTATTGAGATTCACGTGCAGAAAGACAGTGATTTTCTTACCATGGCTATATAAATTAAAGACTTTTTGTGGAAAATGTCACGTATGTGGTTTCACCTTTAAAAAGACGATATATATACTTGTAAAAATACACAAACAAAATACTAATATAAATAACGGGCACAATAATGGCAAGTTTTTTGTAAAGAACGGAAGGGAAAAGGAAATTTGACCTCCACTTCCATCTCACCTGATGGAAAGTGAAGATGATCTCATAGTCACGACGACGTGACGATCAGGTTGATTTTGGCACATGCACACTTAAATATTTCCTATTCACTCTTGCCTTGAAAAGACCGTGACAGGGAATTCCATCCTATAGCCATTCGCCATGTAAATGGGGAAGCAAAACGCTTCGTGCGAATTCTTGAAATATCCACAACATAGGGGTGGAACCCCAGTCTAAGTCTAATCCCCCGATGATGGAAAGGCGAAGGCGGAATTAAATCATGCAATTCAACTCACACAACAGGAAAGGAATTGTCAATGGTACTAACATACTTAAGCACATTTTGAGGTTGTACGTAAGGCTGTATTATTATTTTTCATTAAAAAGCACGAAGTTAATTCAAATTGTTTACGTATCTAGCGACAAGCTATGTGTATAACACTAGCTCTCTTGTATTCGGTCCGGTCCCTACAGATTGACAAAAACGTATGACTCAATTTACTGTCTTTATTCAAATATAAAAGAAATGAAATATCTGAACTAATCTTTAGCGTTAGCAACTCCACCGTTAGTTATAGAGAAAGTAGCCTCACTTTCAGGCAGATCGGGAGAATCGTATATCTTCGCGATCCTGTTCTCGCCTCGGCCCTTTCGTAGAGATATTCTAGTGGTTGAAGCATGAGCGAGAATGTTCCCTCCAATGGGCTTCTTGGGGTCTGCCTGAAAAGTCAGTGTAGCACCTGGATCCGATGTCATTTGATTTGTTATGAAAACTGCTACGTTGTATTCTTCGGAGATCTGGAAAAGGATTACGGCTGGAAAATTATGAAATGTCACATGTATTAACATACAATTTTAATACAGGAATATAACATTTGTTCTGAAGAGTCGCTGTTAAGGAATACACGATGTTGATGAGCATGAGAGTTATAAATTGATTAAAACAAATAGTAATTTCGGTGAGCGCTTTTAGTAGGTTCAATCGTTACGGATCTGCAATGCGAAGCGGTTCGAGTAAATTCTACAAGGTTTACATACTCATTGCGATAGATAATTATAACCCTCGTGGTAGAAGAAATGCTTGCCTGCTGATGGGAGCTATACCTTAAATCAGGGTTTCTTAACCTGGGAGTCCGTGAGGGGTCCATGGTGAGCCTTCCTAACACAATGCATTAATATAACAATTGGTATACAATATGTTGAGAATATAAAAGGTACTGTTTATATATCTAGATATTTTTAGAGGGGTCCATGATTAGAAAAAGGTTTAGAAACCCTGGCTTAAGTGGAGATGTGATAACGTTAACGTTACCTCTTGTTTAGGTATGTGTTTTGACGCTGACTTATTCAAAATTACGAAATATTTTCTGCGTATCAAAATATTGTATTTTAGTAGGTACCTATTAAATCTAAATATAGAACACGAATTGATGACAGTCGAGTTCATAAGATCTTAGGGCGAAAAGATAAATATGAGGAGACATGATAAGAAGGTATCCGGGTTTTTTGAACCCTTGAGTTTTATGATTTGACTTTGACAAAGTGGCTCAATAATTCATGGACACAAAATTCCTACGTAATAAAATGTATACATAACACTAACAATAACAAGAAGTGGAGTTAACGTTACGCTATAGTTCGTTAATTTACTGCAGCTTTTTTCAAAATAACTAAATACTCACCGACATGTAATGGAAATATAATGGAAATACTTAGGTATACGTAGGTATACAAAAAAAAATCGAAATGTCGCCATAATTAAAAAAAAAAAAAAATACATTGCGACACCTCCTTACAAGGAGGTGAGGAGGTAAGTTACTTCAGCACATGATAAGCCTTAACTTCTTCGCATTTGTCTTCTTCAATAGACATATATGCATAAGTAAGGAAAGCTCAGAAGATTTCATTTTAACTTGAAATTGCCTAATGTAAACAGCTTTTTATTTTACTTCGTGTATCGTCAATAAATCATAAAGTGTCGTCTAGAGCGATTTGAGTGCGACATTATTTACAATAAATTTAAAACTTTTGTCCTTTTCTTGAATTAAGTTTAGTGCAAGTTTGCAAACTTCGGTAACGCCAATCGGTAAAATACCTTTTGCAGCCTGGACAGCACTTGAGCAAGTTTTTGTTGTCGGTCAGCAAGTTCTCCGCGCCCAGAGAAATCGACTCGAAACAAGGCCATGATGGAGTCAATAATCAACAGTTTGAACATCCCTGCTTCTTCATGGAACTTTGCCGCTACGTAGTCTAGTAGTTCTGCCTGCCAATGTTTTTGTAAGTACTTAAGTAAATATGCACACCTAAGTAAATAAAAACGTTGAGAAAATACCATCATTTCTTGATGGAAAATGAAAGGGACGATAACAAAAATGCTAATAATAGGAAAGAAAGAAAATGGAGGGTTTGCCCAGCTGTAGGAGATCATTATAAAATTCAATGGCAAATGGTATGAAACTAGTTACCTGATGCTCCGAAGTGTAAGCCCTAGCATAAAGGACGTTGTCTAGAACTGCGTTTTGATCCAAGTTGAATCGTTCTGCGATGGGCCTCAATCTATCTGGGCGACTGATTATTCGGTTAGGGATTTTGTATGATAATTACACTAAGGCTTAATTAAAGCTGTACCTATTATCAGTTTTTGTAAGCTGTGTGAGTGACGTACTGTACAATTAAAAATAAAGTAGGGACCTACTGGCATCGTACTTCCAGTGTATGGGCGCAGTTTTACAATAGGGAAGATATTTTAATGCTGTAGTATGGGCACAGTGTAAAGAAGATATTGGTATACTGTGGTATACGTACGCATTGGATAACGTAACGTAGGTACATCTAGCACAAGACCATAAAGCTTATTTTCCATACACCGACTTGCATTTTCAAGTATCTAATTATTAGTAATATTATTGAGTCGGGCACAAAATATTATTAAGTTTGGACTACGTAAATATACTAGTACTCAGAGTAGCCCAAGTGAGATTTTATCGCCGTCACAACTACATTAGACATAATTAGATAATTAATACTTTCTCCTGTGAATATTTTTACAAGAAACTTAGCAGATAACTGAGGATGTGGCTCACATTATAATTTGGTCCATCAACTACCATTGCGGTGTGAACCGCCACCGCCCATGCGTTTGGGGCTATAAATTAAAACCAGACTATCGAAATTCTCGTTGTGGTTGGTGCGTGTCACCGCCGTTCTACTAACTACATACCTACAGCTACAAATGATATCATCGAATGTCTTTACCCTCGCCAGGAGGTTAGTATTATAAGTCACACCACTGGTACATGTTAATAAAAATGGATGTACATTAATTTGCTACTCCGCGAACCTAGTGAAGGTTAACTCGTGTAAAATAACTGCGCTTGTGCTGAATATTTTTTCATGCAGTTAATTGTACCACGCTCCCTTCGCTTAAAATTAATAAAATAACACAAGCGCAACTGTAGCTGTAGCTACAAACACAACCACCAAAAATATATCCGACACTTGTTCCGCCTCTGTCTTTCTTCAGAGTTGTTGATGGTTAGAAGCTCGTTCGTAGTACTTCATGTATGCTACTTACTATTCATGTATCTATTCTAGCCCTGCCCTGAATAGTCTTAGGCATGCGGATTTCATGTAGTCATAAATTCAACGCCAACCGAACTTATTTATCGCGAGACTCTTCGAGTAATAATAGGTCAGTTCGTGTCTCCAAATTGTATCTTTACGACAAGAGCCGTTGCCGAGTAGGTATGCGACACGTCTGGACTCCTACACATCTACAAAGACTCCAAAATCGTCTTCACTTGTTTTTTTACATAATCACGTGTGTTCCCGAGCCAGGAAAATTTACACTTTCCACTGGAGCCACCTTGACACGGTTCATTCAAAGTTATTGAAACATATTCCAAGTACTATGTTTTACAAGGAAAAACGAACAAAATCGAGACAGACAGTCCAAAACCAGCTTACATAATGACAAAAAACTACCAAGCCAGAACAATAGAGACAAGGGAAGCCAGAGAGAAGATGGAGGAGAAGAGAATACGCAACAACTGAGGAGTAAAGTTTCTTGATTTTTATCGACCGAAGTCACGGTTTAGCCAGGGGAATATGTTACCTATATTTTTTATTTGTACCATTGCCATTCATTGTGGAGCGAATCGCTACCGCTTTTGCAACTAGGACCACGCACCAAAATCATACGATCGATGACGCGATGACGTCGTTGGCGCCCGCGCACAACTCGGTCGGGCGGCAACACACCGCCTCCGCACCTGCAGGGAACCCTCACACGTGCGTTTCGCCAGTGATGCCAGATTGGGGGATTCCCTTCAAATTCGGGGGTACTTTTTGACTCACGGGGTGAATTTTGATCCTCGTATTTTCGGGTCGGGAAATTAAAAAGGAGAGCTTTTTAGAGTTTTTTATAAGAACAGTATAGTATTAATCATCCATCTCAAAATACGATGTGTGTTTACTCACTCAATTAATAAAGACAAATTGCGTAAAAGATTGGCAATTGAAACTGCAGAGGCAATTCTTACAATTCGTTATTCATTGCCTAAAGGATGTAGAGTATTAATTTCGTTCGCCACGTCACGAGTGTTGAACAAATTAAACTCCGAAAAAATGTATTGTAATTGATGCCAATACAAATGTAAGTGAAGGTGATAATAATTAAGTAATAACGCACACATTCAACATAGCACCGCACTAGGGAAACCCTGTGTTGCGGGTGCCATGGACACACACATAAACAATGACATATATATACATATACACCCAAAGTCACTAGAGAAATAAATATAGGCCATACAAATTTTTCTCCCGGCCCAGCAATCGCACCTAAGACCTCTGCGTGGCAATCCGACATGGTAACCGTTCGGCTACGGAGGCAGTTTTCAGTAAGCCTGAAGCTCTTGCGGAAGTAGGTTAAATTCTATGTATTCTTTATTAAAAAGCATCTGAAAGCGTGTTTTGTATTTTTCCCTTTAAAATTAATAAACAGAGTTGAATCTGGGTTAAAAAGAAATTACGAACATTTTTTTATATGTATTTGTAAATAGTTTTTCAGGGAAGTCATAGCCATCTAGCAACACTGCGTTTGGCATTGTATTCAGTTTGTTTACCTAAATGTTCAATGATTCTTTTGATTAATTATTCGACTGCTTTTCTGTGGGTTTTCTTTATTTCTCATTTATTCAAGTGATACCTATAATTATATAGCGTGTATTTTTAATCTGGGACAGTATAAAGATTTCCGAAATATAGAAGAGACAGAGAACAAGTCTTATGAACTATTAAGTCTTTTTTTGTGAAAACAATTTGGGCATAGTCAATTTTTTGGTTAAGCGTGACCTGTCCATAAAAATGAATAAAATTGATTAATATTTCTTTACTGCTGATCGACAAGTTTCATGTAAGGATCATTTCATTGTATGGGAAGAAAAAGCATTTAAAAAATTAGACAAGTTTTAATTTTAATTTTCATAGACAACTGAAAAAAATTAACATGCCAAAATCATTTTCGCCAAAACTCAACTCACACTGGCAATGGCGCAGAGTCGAAGCGTCGCGTCACGTCCTGTTTTTCAACTACAACATGGCGAACTGCGTTGTCGAGGGACGACGCTCGCTTTAGCGCGTCCTGACCACGCGTGGTCGGCGTCTGACGCCTCACTACGCGCAAGTAACGCACGGCGACGCGCGATTCCATATTCGGATAACACAAATTTGTACCTTAATGATGGGAAAATAGAGATGAATATGCTATAGGCGAAAAACATGATGCGTCGCGACGCTTCTCACTCTGCGCCAGTGTGAGTTGAGCCTTAATGGTTCTTAAACAGTTTTCATGTATCTCATAAAGTTTAGGATTTCCCCATTCTATCCCAGAAAAAAACACACTGTATATGCATATATGTATAATCTACGTGTATAGGGTTCTATTCCCGATCGAGTTACTTAGAGTAACCTCTTCTTACAAGAATAAAACAAAGGATACAAAGTATGTTCAGTATCGAGAAACATAACTTTTCCGCCTTGATAGCCTGTCGAGTTTGGTATCTGCGTCGTTACGCATAGCGTGTGCGACAGCTGTGTTTTACCTGTGCGAAACTCGCCGAATACCTCTGTTATCGCCATTGACTCTATGCCACCGGCTAACAGTTTACTGAAAATTTATGTAAATACAGTAGATATTTAAATGAGAAAAAATGCCAGGCAAGCAAAAGCCTTTAATCTTTGTCTACGAGAATTATTCCACTAGAATTGTAACCTAGGCCCTGGTTTTAATTCAAATCGGAATCGATCTGATCGCGTAGCCCACCCGCAACATTACTCTAAGAGTCGTATTCTAGAATTCTACTCAATGCTCAAGTCAGGATTACACTGGAAACACAAGCACTGGAAATACCCGACCCCTAGGGTCGTATTCTAGAACTCTACTCAATGCTCAAGTCAGGATTTGAGTATGGTTAAAGCACTCGAAATCATACTCAAGTCCCTGCCATTAGGGTCGCATTTCCAGTGCTTGCGTTTCCAGTGCAATCCTGACTTGAGCATTGAGTAGAGTTCTAGAATACGACCCTTAGAATCTCGACACAATATGACTATGTTGTGGACAAACGAGGCACATTGTTGTAAGCTTTCCTAGATCACTTGATACAATGGAAGCACTACCCAGAACTCCAATTTATACAATTTCGTTCCTTAAACTAAACTGCATAATTTGATCAAAATATACATGCTTAATAATCAATGTGGATGTTGTTGTCATATTTTAAGTATATTCTAGATGAACTTACTCCAATTCAGTGCTGCCCGTACTTATTTTGAATATTTGTTTGCGACGATCACTAACTTCTAGAGCCGTCATAAAACCTAATGTCGCAACTTTCTGACAAGCTTCTTTTATCTTTTCTACTTTGGTATCCGAAAACCCTTTGATATTACACAGTTTTTTTTTCGTAGACATCTGAATGCCTTTAATAGTGCATATTCCGGCAGTTTTCAATTTTTTAATATCAGCCACGTTTATTCCATGTTTCTGGAGAATATCTACATCCTGAAAGAAGCTGTCTTCTTCGTCGTTTTCAGAAATATTATCGTCAAGTGCTTGATCCATCATTATTATTTTTATAAATTACTTGATGGGTTTACGCTACGGGTTTACGACGCGTAAAAATTTTTGAAATATTGGCGGGAAAAATAAAACTTTTTATAGGTATGGCTTTAGGCTTAGGTACTGAGATAAAATTACGGAGAAATGTAAAAGAAAACCATACTATGTTTACAGAGTTGAGTGATAGTTTGGTTCATAAAATTTTTCATCAAAACTTCTACTCGCTTTTCTAGTCCATAATTAATTATAAGCGTTTGGTTTTTTATTCTGTGTACAAAAATTTACAAACGACACATTACATTAGAACAACAGTGCTTAGACCCCATATACATACATAAGACGCAATTTTTTGCAACTGCTAGCGCCATCTAGTGTGCAGTTTGCATCTACCTGTGAAAGAAATATTGTTTAAACATTTATGTCTACGATTACAATTCTAACGTGGAAAATAAAACAAATATAGATAAATTTAACTGTTTTACAAAACTAAGACTAGAAAATTAAGGGACGCATACAATTATAAAACTATTAACCACATAGGTAATATAAATCATTAACCCACATACTTATATACAGTGTCACCGATAAATTGTTTCCTGCATTATACTAATGAAAAGGATTTTTATACGAAATTCTAAATTTGCATTGTTTTTATGTTCCTCGCTAGATGACGCTAGTACCTTTTTTTTTTTAATTTAAATTTTTGAATGAGCCTACTCTCACTCTCTACTCTGAATACGACGCCCTTATAATTCTAGTCTATGGTTCGATTGACTGCGATGACGAGAAAACCTTGTTGCGGCGCAAAATAAAAGGGATTTTTTAATTGTATTTACGTAATTACATCAAGAAAATTACCGTCTTATCCACCTAAGATAAGGTAAGGGCGTAAGTTAACCCTCGGAAGTACTGGAAAGTGATTATTTATTATGTTCATATTTCCTCCTGTATCACAGCCATGTTGAAGTAGTGTTGATTTTACTAAGTTTTCGTCAGTTTCTCGTTTATAAAAGTTGAAAAAGTTGTTCACAAGTAAATGTGACAGACCCGAGTTTAGTTTGTGTTGTGAATAAAAAGTTGAAAGTCTTTCCAATATGAAAAGTGTTACAAAGTGCCTTCGTTTCTGGCGTCGAGGCGTCCTCTTCAAGGTAAGGCTGGATGTGTCTTCAATATACATCAGAACGTAGCATTTTCGAGCGACTTCGTTCTAAACTTGAACAGTAGATTGATTAAAAATATACAAATGCTAGGATGTATGATTTCATGTAGTTCTATTGAAGCAAGGCTTCACGTGATTGGCGTTAAAATGCCACGCTTTTGATTCTCACAAAGAAATCACAGGATAGGAATTTGGAATCTTATATACCTTTATATAATATATACTTCATGAAATATCAAACATGTATATAATTATTGGGTATAACCATTTAATGACATTTTTATTTGCTAGGTTTTAGTGTGTATACTAACATTAAGAACTTAAGCCTTAATTAAGAATGAATGGTGCGAGTCAGGTTAACCACAGCTATGTTTATGGAAGTGTGCTTGATTGGGTCGGGAATTAGTATAATGTGGAGATGGTACAGAAAAAATTGCCATCTGTTTTCAGGGATGGATTCAGAAGACTCGCGTGATGGGTCTGGAGATAATAAATCCTCATCTAGTAGTGGCAGCTCCAGTTCAAGAAGCCGCAGAAGTTCATCTTCTGATAGGAGTGAAGGTACCAAAAAAGGTGCAAAATCACCACCACGGTCTCCACCTAGGTCACCATCAAGATCTGAAAGGCATCATTCACCATCGCCCGAGAGTCGGTCACAATCTTCAGTACACTCCCCATTACTTGGGAAATCCCCAAGATCCCCAGGAAATTTGAGTGGTGCTCATTCTGACATAAATTCTCCTGAAAATTCAATGCCTGCTTCGCCAGCAGGTCCTAAATCTCCAGAAGGTCCGCATTCACCCAGTGATGCTGGCTCAAATGTTGGTTCACCAGAACGTACATCTGCTCCTTCAGGCGGTGAAGGGCCAAAGACACCTCAAAGTCCGAGTAGTTCAGCACGATCTGCTCCAGGTTCACCGGAGTCTAGATCTCGTCCAGCCTCTCCAGATTCTGCATCTCAGCCCACTTCTCCCCCCTCCAGAAATCCCAACAGTTTCCGACCCTCAAGCCCCTCCCCGGACAGGACTTCTTCGCAGTCCTCACCAGATATATCTCAAGTAAAGAAAATTGAGAGGAATCCCAAGGAGCCTTGGAGAAGACATACGAAAGCAGAACAAAAAATGGTTGCTGTTCCACGAAGCCGGAGCAGATCTGATTCTAGTAGATCAAGCAGAAGTTCATCATATAATAAGAGATCCAGTGCTAAGGATCCGGCTACAGAGGAAATTTCTGAAGGTAATTTCATTAAAAGCCCTTGAGTCATGGGAGGAAATAAATACATATAGTTTTTTTAAATACACTATTTATAGTATATATTGCAACATAAATTGTGCATTAAATCATAAAATATGGCACTTATCTTCTCAGTCCTTTTTACTTTTTTTTAACAATGTTGCTTCATAGCTACTTAATTTTTGTAAACATAAGGTGTCCCAAAAGACAATGACAAGCTGGGTACAAGGGTGTTGACCAGTTGGTAACAACTATAAAAAAAAAATGTTTAAAAACATTAGAATAACTTTTTGTAAAATGAGCAAGCTATTGAAAAATGAGCAATGAGCAGAATTGTTCCACCATCCAGGCTTATCATTGAGTTTTTGGACACTTGTGTATAATTGTGATCCAATGAAATTGTAGGTGAAATGGAATCAGATCAAGAAGACAGGAAATCAAGGAGCAAATCCATTGCTAGTGAGAAGGGTGATGCCAAGGATCTGAATATCAGCCATGAGGACCTTTCTGATGTGTCAGACTTAGATTCAGGGGCTGAAGATAATGAAAAAGATAATAAGGTATGTGAAACAATAAGGTAAGGCCATTGCCAAGCGTCTTCCACATCTTTTGTATTGTTCTAAATGTGCTTATGACCATATTATGTACTTTACAAATGAAAACAATGAAACATACCAATGAAATAGTAGATAACATAAAGATGAATCTACACGAGAAGCATTAACTACCAAGCATTAGACAGAAATACATGTGTGACAAGTGTGTTGGAAAGTTTATAATTTGTTAAAAATTGGTTACAATGAGAGTGCTTTGTTTTTATACAATAATAATTCATATTCGTGTTCATTCAACCTTGTATTGTAATAACACTTTGGGGCAACAAACTTAGCTCAAATATTTGGTGATGTGACAAATGGATTTCCAAGTGCTTTTATTTGATTATTTGTCCACAAGAAATCTGTAATCATTTTGCCATTGCCCAGAAATTTGTTTATGTGGTATTGAAAATGAATATATACATGAAATTATCTTAACAGTACAGAAAGGCTCCAAAAGGCTCAAAAGCCACAATTTCATTGAATCATTTTGAAAAAAGTGCAAATATAATTTCGCGATGCGAACCATTGCCAAAAAATGGATGTTTGGCTGGACAACTGGACGTGTTCTTAATACTAAATGTGTTAAGGTTCTTGAAATCATAGTTCTAATTTAATTTTAAATTTGTTTACACTTTGAATACCTTAATATTGTAAATCATTATATAGACATATCTAGGGCCATCCTTAAAAGCCTCTAACTAGCTCTAACTGGGTTTTAACCATTTTAAGCATTGTTAAATTTAATGTTATTATTACAATAATATTTGATGGTTATTTGAAGGTATATTTCACAAATTTTTTCATTCAACTTTTTTACAAAAGACCATGAAATAGTGCGTGCATAGACAAAAAAGCGGGGAAGCGGGTGAAACCACGGTATTAGAGTTATACAAGAATTTATTTTTATTAGTTGCTATTTAAATAATGCTAATCTTGTTATTTATTATCCATCACAGTAAATGAGAGTCCACTGGGCCGCGAGATGGATATTCTGTGACTTTGCCATGAAATAAATTATAAAAATGAATTTAATGAAAATCCCTGTATAATTCACTGCCCACATCTGGGCATGTCTCGAAAAAATTAAATACACCTTGTACTTTGAGATAAATCAGCAAAACTAGTTACAGGTCAAGCCAGTAAAAATGTAGGGTAAAGGAACAATTTCTCATTGTGACATAAAGTTGTTAAACTTTATAGTACCTCTACTGGATAATCTCTAGACAACATAAATACGTATTTTTACAGAGAAAGTCACCACCCATATCACAGGAAACCAAAACAGAATTGAAAATTAATGGAAATAATACTGGAAGTACACAGTCTTCACCTAAATCTGAGACTGGTAAAATAGATATACCTAAATTAGAAAAAGTAAGTTCTAATAAATTAAGTATTTTAAAGAATTTATATCAGGACTTCTGAATGAAACTCTTGCGGTAAATGATTATTTAAAGATTTGTCTACGGACATCCTTCAATGTCCTCCACTTCTAGTCCAGTTTTGTTGGTATTTGCATTATAGTTTACTTAGTTGTTATCTCTATCTGATTACATTTTTAAAAGCTACATATAACTTTTATGAAGTGACATTTAGACAGATTTTAAAATGCATATATTAATAGGTACCTCAAGAAAAGACGAGCAATACCGAGGATGGAGAAGAGCAATTAGATTTTGAGGCTGAAGAAGGCGAATGCATTGACACTAAGCCTAAAGATCACTCAAATGGTGAATCTGAGGCTTTGGCTGAAAAAGGTATGTAATAGACCAAATTTACAGTGATTGTTCTTTACTGTGTATTGTCCTAGACATATCCTTATATTTATAGTTTTACTAAGACAGGATTTTGTAAGGCTCCATCCATATTCACTTTTCTTTTACTTGGTTGTTGTTGCTTTTCCCTGAAGATAATGGTGGTATCTGAACTCCACTGGTAGGCTCAATTTATATTGCGGCGCGAGAATCTAGTTTGTACGTTACACAATTGACCATAAAGTTGATTATGCTATGTACAATATCGTTACAAAAATTCGCTTTCAGTTCGTTCCGCCACAATATAAATTGAGCCTTATCGCATTCTTTTGACTTAGTGTATTATCAAATTCTCAGCCTCCTGCCCGTATCTCATTATTTAGTTATGTTAAAGCTTTAATTCAGGGAAGTACTGCCATCTTACCTATTTCTGCCGCCAAGCAGTAATGTGAGCATTAAGGCGTTCAAGTTTCAAAGGGTAAGGGTGCTGGTGAAATTACAGGCACATGGGAATTGTCAACTTATGTCTCAGGGTGTCGGGCGCAGTGGCAATGCCCCTCAGATCTTTATGATTTAAAATTTTGAGTGACACTGCAACTGCTTGGGACAGGTGTGTCACTTACCACCAGGCGCACGACTTGTTCGTTCCCTAACTTAGTATTATAAAAAAGACAATGTATGGTCGGCGCAGTGTTTTCTTCTTCCATTCATCTCTGTCAGCCGTTTTCCCGTCTTCCTCCACCCACATCACCTATCCATCCATGACATTCATGACCATCATGACATTAATTATTCCAATTTCATGTCCATAATTCAAATAAATGACGTTTAATATTAAGAGATGCGCTATTACTTACGCTAAAATTGATTAGTCTATTCATTATCTAATTACGTGCTTTATTTAGATTACATTCTGTATGCTCGTTGTTAAATATTATATAGTTTGATAAATTGCATAATCATGATTAGTAAGAGTTCTTATATCCTTGTATTCATTCTGGTGTACAGTAAATAGCGATAATGCAATGGATATTGCTATTGCAGTCGTGATGAGAGGACATCGAGTGAAGTATTTATTGTCAATAACACCTAAGTAGAGGTCTCTAATTGGCTGTTGCCGGTCTATTAACTCAGTGAACGTTACGATCTTCTTGATTACGAATACTAATGTCCACTTGCACTAAACTTAAGTACGTCTTAAACCATAGGTTCCCAAACATTTTGGCTTACTGCCCACTTAGGATAGATAAAAAAGTTCAACGACCACCACCACAAAAAATAATTGAAAACACATATTTTTCATATTAATTTAACACAAAAAATCACAACGAAAAAAAATGTTGTGTAGTAGTTTTTATAGATAATTCAGGTTTTTTTCCAAATGCGGTAGCACCCAGTGGACAGCAGCAACTCCCCCCAATGCTGCCCAGGCTCCTACTTAGGACTCTTCAGCGCTCACTGGGCGGTAGGGACCTCTTTGGGAAACTATATCTTAAACCAGTTCTTAAATTGATAAGACACTCCTAAAACAATGCACTAAGAGTATGTTTTGCATTGCAAGTACTGGTTTAAGACGGACTTAAATTTAGTGCAAGTGGACACGAGTGCCACGGGGCTAGATAAACTGGGAACTGAGGGAAAATGTTCGCTTTTAACAGAAGATATAAAGCCCGGGAAGCGTTCGCGAGGCTCGTCACTCGAGGAAGGCGAAGTGTCTGATGAAGGCGAGCGTCGCCCGGAGGAGAGTGAGCCTCGGCCAGTCTGCCGGTTCTTCTCACGCGGCGCTTGCACTTGGGGTGTTAGTTGCAGGTATGTTACTCGCTGTCCTGTTTATTTCATACATACTTATAATACAATATGACTTTTTATACAAGTCAAACAACAAAATATACATTTGTATACAATGTTGTTGAATTTGCAAAATTATGTACGATGATCGTATCGTAGTTATAATAATAATAATACTTAATAATTCATACGCACGCAAACTACATACATACATACGCACTCATTTCGGTTCAGGGTTCATTGAAAACCAGCGCCAGTCAATTATGGTTGTGGCTTATGTTGAATGAAGTAAGTCCTTTTGCGTACGCCACAATCGCGCATATGACAGTACAAAATTTGTAGTCGTTATATTTTGCTTTTTGTCTGTTTTGTCTTATGTTTTTTTTTTGTTTTGCTTGTCTAAGTATTATCTATATATATTTTTTGTATCTATGTGTTGTGGGGTTACAACAAATGTCTATTCTTCTATTCTATTCAAACGTGCGTAGGAATTATTAAGTATTAATATCCCACTAATTGCCCTAACAGCCTACTGTATTGTCGTCTACATGACGCGTTCCAATACTTTGTTAATAAAAATGTGTGAAATTCGTCAATCCGCATGGGGACCTAAACTTGCTTGACAGAAAAACATTTTTAAGAAGGCGAAATGTAATAAATACAAAAAAAGTATTAATAATTTGCCTACAATAGACAAGCAATCCTAAATAGCTATTTTTCTGTATCAGAAAACCAGCTCACACCGGTTTAGTGATTTAAACGGAAAATGGATTTGCATAGCGTTATTGTTTATGACACAATAAGTACTAATGAGAACATTTTAGAAAAAAGACCTGTATCTGCATTCTTTTACCCTTTTGTTTTCTTGAACTGTAATGCATTGTTATAAATTTATAAACATTTGTTTTGATCATGGAGGTATATGCTGCTATAAACTAGTAGCCAAATTAAGGCGACAGACGCATGTTCGAGTCCAGTCAGTTCGAAGGATTTTATCTTTGTATTTGTTCTATCTTTGTATTAATATTAACAAACTAGTGGAGAATTTTCCCAAAAATATAGACGAATGTCATAGTAGTAACGCGATTCAGTAAAAAAAAATATCACAAAAGTAAAAATGAAATTGTGCTATCACATCTGTGATCTCTTGATGAATATGGGTCGTATTCTAGAACTCTACTCAATGCTCAATTCATGATTTGAGTATGGTTTAAAGCACTCGAAATCATACTCAAGTCCCTGCCATTAGGGTCGTATTTCCAGTGCTTGTGTTGCCAGTGCAATCCTGACTTGAGCATTGAATAGAGTTCTAGAATACGACCCTAAGAGCGGTTGCACACGGCGACGTTTAGCAGCGCGTCTGCAGCGATGCAGTCACTAACCATCTACCCTTACACACACACGGGGCTGAAGCAGCGATACTATTGCGATGCAAAGGCGAGACACGTTTCTTATGATTCTACATTAGCGACTGTATCAATTCGAATCACAGGTTTCTGCACCCCGGAGTGACAGATAAGGGCAATTACAACATGTTCGATGTGGTGCGCGGCGTACCGGCTACAGGATCGTACCCCCCGCCCGTAACCCGCGATCTCGCGCCACCCGAGTCTGCTTGGGAGCGTGGTCTGCGCACGGCTAAAGAGGTACCACCTAAATCACGATTTACTTTGCTGCTATTGCTCTTCTGTTAAATACACTCGCCGACAAAATTTGTGCCCCCTTTCATTTTTATTACTTGACGATCTCGGTGACCTAACGGCGTACACTGTGGGCGCTGGATGGTTCTGGGTTCGATTCCCGGTAGGACCAATTTGGGAAACGAACTTTTCCAAATTGGTTCTGACCTGGATATTGGCATGGCCTGGTGGGAAGTGCCCCAGAGTGAATTTCGCTGCTCTGGCTCTCATAGTACATTGAATTTTCTAGTTGACACCAGGCAATTGGTGTAGTTGTCTGGCACAAACAATGCAACACAAAGCATGTTATTATTATTATCATTATTATTCTTGGGCTGGAATAGAAAAATATTCTTATCACTTAAAAAAAGTTCAAATTTATAACAAGGACATAAGGAAATGACGTTTAGTACATCAGTTTCAAAATTGCGCAATAGTTTTTAACCAATCAAACATTGTTTAAGCTTAGGGCTTTTAATACTGAAAATCAAGTTAAATTATGTGTCCGGGAGTGTATGAAGCTAAAGTTCTTACTAACTGATAAGAATGTAGAAAGTAAGGGAAAAAATATGACATGAGATTAATGTGGAAAATTGTAAAAGTTGATCAACATCATCCAAAAGCTATGATAATTATTTTTACGATTCATAATTGTGGTAAGGTAGTATTGTGATTTATTTATATGATTGGATTGCATTTTCTTGATGTATTACTTTTCTAATGGGGCTGATATGTTCAACAATTATCAAAACCTTAAAATAAATACAGTTAAAAAAAGAGGACTATTTAAGCAGTTACATATATTTATAGACGTTAATAGTGTATGTAACATTTATATAGATTTTAAGACTTTCGTGGTTATTCACTAAATGATTATCACTAGTATCAGGTTTCTTACCACGGGTTGAGTCAACCCGTGACCATGGAGCGTGCAACCGTTCCGAAATATCGGGAAAATAAAAAGAAGTCATACCGTGGTAAGAAACCTGATACTAGTGATAATCATATGTAACATTTGTTAGTTTTTCGTACATGTATTATATTTTTTGATCTTAGATGCTTCGAATAGCTAATAAACGTAAAGAGCAAGACATGGACTTCGAAGAGAAAAAGTTACACTTATCGGTGGGTGGCGTAGTTCACGATCCGGATGCAGAACTGGCATACGCAGCGGCCGCAGTAGGGGCATCGCCTCCGCAACCTCATCATCACGAATTGGCCCCTCCGCCGCACCGCGACCCAGACATGTATAGGTGAGATCATATACTTAGTCTGGCCATAAATACTGTTACACTTAAAGATAAAAAAATATTACATTTGAATTTCGAATCTGTCATTTTTATACGATTGTTCATTGTGTTTTCTCATTTTGGCGCCAATACATTGTACAATATTTTGCGATATTAAAATCGAGTGGGGTGATAAAGAGAACCGAATCGCTGTGATTGCATTACACAAAGTAGGTATGGAGCCAAATGCAATTTTTAAAACTCTCCATACACTTGGTATTAGTAAAATGTTTGTGTACCGGGCTATTAATAGGTACAATGAGACTTCCTCTGTTTGTGACAGAAAAAGATCTGGCCGTCCACGTAGTGTTCGTACGAAATAGGTGGTCAAAGCAGTAAGGGAAAGAATTCGAAGAAATCCTGTCCGAAAGCAAAAGATTTTATCTCGGGAAATGGAGATAGCACCTAGAACCATGTCACGTATTTTAAAAGATGACTTAGGACTTGCAGCCTATAAGAGACGCACTGGTCATTTCTTAACTGATAATTTAAAGAAGAATAGGGTGGTAAAATCGAAACAACTACTGAAGCGGTACGCAAAGGGAGGTCACAGAAAAATTTTGTTTACGGATGAGAAAATTTTTACAATTAAGCAACATTGTAACAAACCAAATGACCGTGTTTATGCTCAAAGCTCTAAGGAAGTTTCCCAATTAGTCGACAGAGTGCAACGTGGACATTATCCGACTTCAGTGATGGTTTGGTTGGGTGTTAGCTATGAAGGAGTGACTGAGCCATATTTTTGTGAAAAGGGTATCAAAACATCGGCACAAGTGTATCGAGATACCATTCTTGAGAAGGTAGTTAAGCCCCTTAACATCACCATGTTCAATAACCAAGTATGGTCCTTCCAGCAAGACTCGGCGCCGGGTCATAAAGCTCGGTCCACGCAGTCTTGGTTGGAAGCGAACGTTTCGGACTTCATCAGAGCTGAAGACTGACCGTCGTCTAGTCCCGATCTTAATCCGCTGGATTATGATTTATGGTCAGTTTTAGAGAGTACAGCTTGCTCTAAACGCCATGATAATTTGGAGTCCCTAAAACAATCTATACGATTGGCAGTGAAGAATTTTCCCATGGAAAGAGTGCGTGCTTCTATTGATAACTGGCCTCAACGTTTAAAGGACTGTATTGCAGCCAATGGAGACCACTTCGAATTAGCTTTTTATATTTTTAATTGTTGTATATTTGTGTATTAAACTAACACACTATAAAAGTAATAAATGTTATTTGCAGTTAAAAAAATATTTTTATTCTCTATATTACAATATTTATGGCAAGACTAGGTATATATATATTTATTTTATAATACCAAGTGACGAGCCGAACAAGTCCGCCTGGTGGTAAGCGACACGCCTTTCCACAACAGTTTCAATAGCAGTAGAGCTCCTTGTGAAAGAGTTCGTTCAGGAAAGTACTGCCACCTTAACTATTTCTGCCGCCAAAGATAATGTGAGCATTACTGCCGCCGGTAGTTGAAGGGTCGCTTGTGACAAAAACTCAGACCTGAGAAAATAATGTTTAAGGTGATAATGAAATTAAAAAATATCTACTTTTCCCTTGCACTAATTTCATACCTTATGCACCTATGTATCCACCTAATAATATTGACAGATCGGCCTTTTTTTATTCATCACGGCAGTATAAGTAACAAATTTAAAAAAGTCACGTGCGCCCTTTGAACTAACTGCGGCAGATGAGACTGTTAACAGATTGACTACATGTGCAGTTGATGCTTGAAGTCGTAATCAACTTTATGCAGCCGAGAGCTCAACTGCATGAAGTTGATAATGATTTCACGCATTAACTACATGCAGTCGATCTCGGCTGCATGAAGTCGGTTTCGACTGTATGCAGTTAATGCGTGAAGCCGTTACACGAGACCTCGACTGCATGAAGTTGATAACGAACGAAAGTTGGACGAGTGTATGACACCTGCGATACAGTGTTTTCCTAATGCGGGGCTATGAGTGTGCGTTGTTTGTTTATTTATTACTTATATTCAGGGCATACGGCCCAATGTACCGCGGCGGGCGCTACCCACGTGGCCCAGCGGACGAACGGGAGTTCTATGAACGAGAGCGGATATATGAGCGCGAGCGTGTCTACGAACGACCGCCGCCTTATGACGAGCGCGGCGCGCCACCTAATGAGGAAATGCCATATCATAAGGTAACCTTAGAATATTATTTAAGTTAAACAAACGCTATCATCCATTATCAATCTATAAAATATTGCTAAATTAGGCTCCTGTTCTGTTGTTTTTGTGTCTAGGCTGTCCTAATTTGGGCTCCAACCACCACGAATTAATTTGTACAAATCATAAGGTCCATTATTCTGTTGTTACAATTTTCTGGAAGAAATAAAGAAATTTATTATTGCAGTCGGTTCCGGGCAATTCAGGACTGTGGATACCATTTCCATTGTCAAGTTTTTTAAAATAACGGAATCATATTTTCTTTTTCGTGGTAAATATGTTACGTTATACATTTATAATTTGACATATTATATATATTTATACACAGCTAATTGATTATTTTTTATAAAATGGTTTTTAACCTTTATTTTATGAAGAGTTAAGCTTAGTATCTAAAACATATGTTTCTCTGTTTTCTTTAGATAACTACTTCCTAAAACACAATACAATTACAGATAAATGAATTCAAAAGTTTTTATATGGATACTGAACAGTCATATAGTTCAATTTTAGCTTAGACTTATGTTACCTGGTTTCAAATGTTCGTATACTTTACTATGGGTTTGATAAAAATGAACCAATCCAGTAAAATATGTGCAAGGAGTAAATAGGTAATTATACTGCATTATTTTTGCGCTACATTTAATAACCCATTCAGAGTCTCCCTCATCAGGGATACCCTGAATGATGAAATGATGAATAATGATCATTCGTCTATGATCATTAAAGATAATTGGACTATAATCTATGACTACAAGTACATCCGCATTATATTAAATATGAAAAGTGATTTAGAATTCCTATTTTGAATATTTTTTTTTAATTGTAGCGCCGAGTTCGTCCGTCACGAGAAGTAATAGTTCAGCGTGCAGAAGTGGAACGACGAGAGCCACGTGACGCGCGCGAGATGCGTGAAGGGCGCATGCGCGAGGGCCGTGGAGACGAGTGGGCAGATCCCTGGATGCGCGCTGAGCCTGCCGCAAGACGGCGACGACCGCCGTCCTCCGACTCCTATTCGTCATCTAGGTGAGTGTATCTGTTGTTGTTTATTCTTTTTCACATTGAACCAGTGACTGGATCCAGTGCTGTTGACTCTTTCAGAAGCTGAAACGGAAATTAATATTTAAAGCACAAACTGGAATAAAACATTTGTGTACTGCTATTCCAGTATTGAGATTCAATGACACTGAATCAGTTGCTGGGTGGATATAACTTAGCTTCAATTTTTACCTTTGAAATAATAGAGATGACCGTCTCCTTCAATAGAATGTATACACGTAGTGAATTTGCAATCTAATAGCCTCCGTAAAGTTTGTTGAACTGTAGTAATATATTAATTAATATATATTAATACTCATTAAACATCTACTAACATGGAAGTATTTGTGCAATATTTATACCGTATACACATTTCATTGCAGGCGAGTATTGTAGTCGTGTTAGGATAGAAGTCATCAAAATTATTTTGACGATTAAATCTTCCAGATTTTGTCGATAACAAATCTGGAAGATTTTAATTACAGAGCAAAGAAAATCTTAAAATAGTATATTTTAGTATTTAAAGCAAACATAGTAAGTAATGAAAGGGTTTAAGTTTTGAATTAAAGAAATTACAGAGTAGACAAAAATGACTACTTTAAGTAACCAAAATATATTTGATTAAACTTACTAATTCCAAAATACTTTTCACGCTTGTTTCCCCTCCTCTGGCCGTTGGAATTCACAATTCCATATAAATGTCACCACGGTTTTGGTTTTCCATCTGACATCACATCTCATTAACAATGCATGTCTCTATCACTGGGACACGCTTATGTATGAATGCGTGTGTGATACGATACGCCTACCGATACATGTACGCTCTTAATGAGTGCGTACTTAATATATGCGCCTTTCATGCGTGTACTCCATACATGCGTGACTACTATGTGTACGTACTTTGTTTTCGTGTGCGTACTCAATACATGCGTGTCTATCAAGTCAATTAATAAATATAATACACTTCATACATTCGACCTCATGTGACATTTAATAAACGCGTTATTATCGTATGTACGTACGTGACCGTCATATATACGTGCGTGCCAATCAATGGTACATGCTCGGTACGTGCGTGTTTTTGTGTGTGCGAATGTGGTCTTTCTTGCACCTCCCTCGGCTTCCCGCTGACCCTGCAGCCCTTCAAATTCCAGTTCTCGCAGCTCTCGTTCACCGGGTGCCCGCCGCAAGAGGCGAGCTTCTTCATCTTCACGACAGAGGTAAGGGGTATTCTTCAAATTCTTATTTGAAATTTAAATTTTAAAAAATCATTAATCTACTTGTTGTCTATACTTATTGTATTTTAATAGGGATTCATATACATAGGCTAGGCTTACCTTTAGTACATTTCTTTTCGATTCTTTTTTTATTATACAGTCTTAATAATAATAGTTTTTATAAATAGTAGTAATCAGGACTCCCGATCGTGATAATACATAAATAAAGTGTGAATGTGCCTGGCAGCAGACTGTCACCGTCGGTGATAGTGCGCGAGCGGCGCTTGGCAACGGCGCGTGCGACGGCTATGAACCCCCCCGCGCCGCGCCGACGCGCGCCCTCCCCAGCCGCCGCGCGACAGCTAGCGGTCAACCCGCCGCCGCCGGCTTCACATCGGCATAAGGTAAAGGTTATTCACAAAATGTTAAATCTCAACACAATTTAAAGGGTAATATTTTTATGATGATTTGGTGTTTTTTTTAGTTGATATTTCAGTTGTTTCATTATTGGACATATTTCGGTAACACCTAATTTTTCCATTAACTTTCTTAGGACGAAATCGATCCGTACGGCCGCAACAAAGCCACGACTCGCAATAGAGATAGGAAAAAGTATTCAAGATCATCGTCATCTGGTTCAGGTAAGAAACTTATTAACATCTATTACCATTTTAAAAGTCATGAAAGTACCAATTCACCTGGAATATATACTAATAAATAACGAACCATTGTACACGCTCTAAATAGAATGTAATAAGTCACTTATATTATCAAATTATTATTAATAAATAACTTTTAGTGGCAGTAGAGCTCCTTGTGAAAGAATTCGTCCAGTGAAGTACTGCCACCTTACCTATTTCTGCCGCCAAGCAGTAATAGGCAAGGTGGCATTACTGTTTTCCGGTTTTGAAGGCTTAAGGGTGCTGGTGAAAGTACAGGCATATGAGACTTGTCAATTTATGTCTCAGGGTGACGGCCGCAATGACAGTGCCCCATAGATGTTTGCGAGTAAAAGCTCTGAGTGGCACTGCAGTACAGGCGTGTAGCTTATTATCACGCGCACGTCTTGTTTGTCCCGTCACTTGATATTATATAAAAAGAAAACTAATTTACACCTGAATGGTATCACATAATACATAAACAAAATATTAACTTACAACGGAAACTGAATTTTGTGAATTCTTACAGAATCATCGACGTCATCAAGTGATTCGGAGAGTGAGTCTCATACATCTTCTTCGTCGGGCAGCTCGGGCGCGCGGCGCGCTCGCCACGCTCGGTTGCTCAACGCCGCCGCCAGACCAAGGTCAGTAGACTTTTTGCCCTAAACACCCTTCCGCACAAGCCCGTTCACAATAGTGGTAGAATTCAATATTAAAATAACGGGGGTAAATGCAACGAAACAATTTAATTGGTATTTACATATCTATTTATTATAATGACGTTTCGGCCAGATTGCATTGGACGTGGTCACGAGTCATCACCATATTGCTAAAATCTAAAGAACTAATGTCTTCTAACGGCACATGAACTTTCATGCAAAAGTTAACACTAGTACCACCATTTCAGGGTACTAGATGGCCTGTCTGTCTCTTTAAAGAAATGTTTTTTTGTCGTTTTGATGATTTTTTTTTTCGCTTTTTATAACATATGGAACAAAAGCTATTTAGTACGAGATATGATGAAATACTATGTAATATACACATGTGTTCTACCTCTTGTGATGATACCATTCAGTGAAAATAGAACCCATTTACGAATTCGGGCAGCAACATATACATTGCATGTCTCTCTGTCATTATTTGTTGCCTTTGCCTGTTTTTCCTTTAACGGTTTGTGTGCTTATAATTAATTTTTATTTATGTGTTTTAATCGGATTTCCAAGCTTGAAAAACTGCTAATATAAACTCTGTTTGCGGAATGCATATTTGTTTTTGGTTTCGGTTACTTTTAACGATTTTAAAATTTTTAAACTTTGCGGATTTGTTTCTAACCACATAATGTGAAGCTGGACAATTCTCGAGGGGAAAAAAAAACACGTGGCACGTTTTACGGTCGCACGTTTGTTACTAACTATTAGGTAATAGTGTATACCAAATTAAAATTCTCTCAGTTGAGAGAAAGGTGCTAAAAGTGTGTCGGGTATTTCAGGATGAACGCTAAGAGCGCTGTAGCAGCAGCAGTGACTATTCCAAATAAAAAGGAAGCCCCTAGTGAGAAAGGTAAGAATGTATTTATTATAAATAGTCCACAGAATTCTGGGAACCACAATACAGCCACATGTTTGTCACGGTTACAATCGCCCGCTGTTGGATACTGGCCTCCAAAATAAAGAAACCTATCTCAATCACCGTGCTTGCCACGCAGATGGGATATTATAGAAACTTACAGCACACGCGAAGACGTTGCTGCCTATAGAATTATGCTCGGGAATATGTTCGCCTTCCATGAGTCAGAGCAAATCAGTATTTACAAACAAATTGTTTTCAGAAACGGCCAAAAAACGGGCGGCGACGTCGCCTATGAGCGGGGCTCCAGCCAAGAAGTCTGTCTCGCGGCGTGAAGAACTTCTCAAACAGTTGAAGGCTGTGGAAGACGCGATTGCTCGGAAACGATCCAAGATATAGGATCCAGGTTCGCGATATACCATGAGTATTGCGGACAATGTCTCAAAATTCATAATAGGCATTCGCACTGGTACGTCAAGGTGGCCTGCGTGACAAAGTGCTGCATGAATATATCCAGTTCTAATGGCCCTTTATTCGGCCTACAGTCAATACACTGGTGGTGTACAAATAAGCATTTAAGTTCTTTGTGATGTTCATGGGTAGTTTATATGTTGACTTTGGAACCATTATTGACTATTAGTAAGCAACTATATTCTCTTAGACATCAGGTTCAATATTTATTGTATGTGTATACGTAAACTGTATCAACTTTGACTAAGTAATTCTTTCAATGTCGCAAAACGTGTATTCTGGTAGATTTGTTCATCACAAGGTTACAGATAACCTATTAGGTTTCTCTGGATAGATTATCTAAGAACATTCATGAGCAAAGGAATAAAAACCATATTTTGAAAATCGACTTTTTATTTATCAAAGGTTTTTAAGTATTTGAATATTGGCTTGTCTATATTTCCTAGATGTAGTGTTTCTAACAAGTACTTTGTTATGTCCAAGTTGTATTAAAGCATTTAATGCATTGTAAGCGACATATCCAATACCACAACTTTTTGCTTCAGAAAAGCTAAATGCTGCTTGGGAAATAAAGCCTAAGATTTCTCTTGAATTTGAGAAACGGATAGACTTTACATCTGAAGGTAGCCATAATTCCCTTATACTTTTAACATATTCTGAGGGTTCAGCTCTAGTCTTCTTGACTGTTTTCTTTTTGGATACCTGTAATATATAATTTAGCCTTTTATTCAGACATATTGTTTTACATGACACTTTGTATTGATCTTGTTATTACATTTTCATATTTTAAATTAATGAAATGACATAAATTATGTTGTGCTAGTGTTTCTGTATGGTATATGGGAAACACCTCATGGTATATGTAATGTGCATTGGTCAAAAAAGGTGTTCCACATATGTACATGCATGTATAGACGTAGCTACAAGGAGCGACATAGAGTTGTTAAAGCCACCAAATATGAAATAATTAATTTTTAGAATTCCGGATTTCCGGAAATAGTTTTACTGCATTGTAGGACAAACTACTGACCTAGGAAGTCGAAATTGGATTTTAAAGTAATTCTAACAGTGCCATGTAAAAAATGCAGTAGATAACTGACAGCTGTTTCCGTTCCGTCAATGTGACCGTCGGTATGCGGGATATGATGCTGTGTCTAAAGCTAGGGAGGGGCGGAGAGTGACTGTTCTCGTTACTTTTTTATTCTCTGCTTTGATAAAAAGTCAGTTATCATTTTTTTACATGGCAACATTAGAATACCTTTAAAACCGACTACGACTTCCTAGGTCAGCAGTTTTGTCTTACGATGCCGTAACACCATTTCCGGAAATCCGGAATTTGAAAAAGTAATTAATTCATATTTGGTATTTTTAACTACTCTATGTCGCTCCTAGTAACTATAATATCTATTCACGTATCTATGTAGGTGGAATATCTTCTTCCGACTATTGGTAATGTGTATGAATTATTTAAGAATGTACCTATTATTATATATTATATAGGTAGGCATACTTATGTGAAAATATATACAACACCAAAAGTCGTGTAATATTAATTTGTAGATCTTACCACAACTCCTTTCTTTCTTAGCTTTACTCTGGTTTTTCGCCACCTTTTGACATCTTTCAAATGTTGCACTCGTTTCTGTTTCCTAATTTTCTCATAGGGATCTGGATGGTGGGGTTCAAATAGCGCCTTCATTGAAGTCAAATCGTTGGCTACTTGCGGTAAGCATATTAGGGCATGGCGTTTTAGATTTCCTTTGCCTAGTATTTGCAAATATACTGCTATTAGGCAGTTTTCACTATTACCCATTACTGGAAGTGTTTTCTTTTTGATAAGACAATCCTAAAAAGTAAATAATCCATTATTTAGAAGACTACATACTGACATTATGATGAGACGGTTATAATGTAGCATTACCTGCAATGTATCCAGTAGGTTCTTATTTCTCAATACAAAAAAGTGGTTTTCAGGGTTCTGGGGTACCCTCCAGTCCTTTAGCAGTACCTTCCAAGGACAAATAAAAGGACTTATGGCGCCGAGTTTTGTGTAATTCACCCTTTTGCTTGGCGGTAGCTTGAAGTACCTTTCCCTCAGTTCAGATTCTATTCGTTTTTCTTCTTCCTCACCTGCATTTGAATCTGGAGGTAAGTAACTTTCTCCCATTTCAAAGGCTAAGCTCTCCGTTTCTCTGAGACCTCCTGATCTTCCACCGAACATAATGAATGTCTGCCAGAAAGGGAGACTGTAGCCTGACGGGACAATTATGTCCCAGCCACTGCCATAGCCTGAAATTTTATTGCAAATAAACAGTAGTAACAAAAAAGAAGTCACATCTGCTGCCTCTGTGGCCGAATGGTTACCATGCCGGACTGCCACGCAGAGGGCCCAGGTTCGATTCCCGGGCCCGGGAGAAATATTTGTATGGCCTACATTTATTTCTCTCGTCAATTTGGGTGTAATTTGTTGTTGTCTGTGTGTGCGTCCACGGCACCCACGACAGCGTTTCCCTAGTTCGGGGCTATGTTGAGTGTGCCATTGACCTCCATTTGTTAGTAAATGGACGTCGGCTTCGCGCTCAAAATTGTCCGCACGTATAGGGCGTTAAAATCGCATACAGAGCATCAATCGCGCAACAGTTTTCGTTTGTTCGACTGACAGCGCGATTGTCAATCATGCAGTACTATATACTAACTTGTAAATATTACTGCAGTAAAGTGTAAAAACAGGATTTAATATCATATTTTCACCAAACAAATGTATTGTGTATTGAGTTCTAGGTTTTTGCGATTGTTACACAGGAAAAGAAACTATTTTTCCGGATTTAAATCGCGTATATATTTGTTTATTCAAACGAACCGACGTTTCGGGTCCTTTACAGGTCCCATGGTCATGGTTGACTGTAATGTGTTATCATTTAAATTAAATTTTATATAAACTTCTTGGTCATTTTCAATTGTTTGAACCATAGTGATTGAAATATTTGGAACGAAGAAACTATAGAGTAGTGTTAATTTTAATCTTATTTTTAAAATGACTTTTTATTCAACATTAGCATTATCTAACAAAATATTGTTGTACTCCTTTTACGGCTTGAGATTACCTATCAGAAGCCAGAAAATACATTTGCCCGAAATAACGTTAGTTCGAATTTTCATGTCAAATTTTTTTAGGAATATTACAAAACAAAAGCTAATTTTGGCTTTATGAGAAGCATCAAAATTACTTGAAAGCGTAACAGTATTATTATTAATCGGTTTTCGGAATTACGAATATTTGAGTATATACATTTAGTTGAAATATCAGTACATTTCTTATAGTACATGCTTATTTTCACATTTATAATATTTGTATGTTTGTATGTTTGCCCAACTCTTTACTATTTCTTGAAGTGAATTTGTACAAAATTCGACATAATAATATACATAAAAATTAATTGATATTTACAATAAAGGCTGCTCCATTACTCTTGTGATCAAGTAATTTTCAGTTGAAGCTAAATATGGTGCATTTTGTTAAGCTTCCAGTAGAAGCTGAATGTGGTGTTTTTGGGCCCTTTAAATTGTTTGCAAGCTAAATTAGGCAGAACTGCAATGACGTTACAAATTAAATGTTTTAGTTTTTTTATATTATGTTACAAGTCACTACATTTGTATAGGTTACCTTCGGACATTCTTTTTTGTGGTTTTTTTATTACACCCAATATCCATTTGTTGGTAGGTCAATGTGTTGGTATGTGCATTATTATTATTATTAATGTGCGTTATTACATCTAAATGTATATTTATATGGTGAGTACATTCAATTAATAACTGTTTCTTATCGTGTCAATGGCATACACTACAATGCTTGCTAATGAGATGAAAGGATTTACAATGCCCAGGGTGCACCAGACATACAGGAAAGGAATGTATATGGGGAGGCTCCTTTTTTATGTATATATAGTTGAATACTGCTGTTGCTGCTAAGGTTCAAAAAGTTTTAATATAGTTAGAACCCTATTTTAATCTCTATACTTACCAACTTTCTTAAATTGAGAATTTTGTGATCCTGGTCTCTGTATTAATACCACAGGAACATGCTGCAAAACTGGATCTTCTTCACACACTTCTCCAGGAACCAATTGAGTTTTGGTAATATGTTGTATAAACTGACCATTGGTTAGTCTTTTCTTTTTAATATTTTCATGTATTTGTGTATCCCAAAGAGGAGACATTGCAGCATATTCAGGAATGTTGACTATAGTTTCTGGTTTTAACACAGTACCATTTACAATAGCCTTTGTTCTACACTTGGGTCGACTTAAACGGGGGTCTTTCACAATCAAACCAATAACAATTTTTGAAGGCAACTGTGATGGCGAACTGGCTAGACTAAGCTTTTGCCACAAATCATGCTTTTCTTTAAGATGTAATCCAGACTTATCTGGTAAGTTTGATATCCATTCATTACTTGTAACCTCAACATCTTCAACACATTTCAGGGTATGTAACAAAATAGCGTGACTATTAGGACCAGTCAACCGAAATCTGTTCAAATTTCCTGGTAAAAATTTAATTTCATTATTCTCTAAAAAAATATTTGTAATTTTCCTTCTTTTTTCAGGGATTTCTTGTTCAGTTGTCTTTGAATCTGGACACAAAATGTCTGCTAAAACAGACTTCACTTCATTGACTTGTGACGGATGCACAAATAGCCATAACATTTTATTAGATGTACTGCTTGGCACCCAAATAAAGCATATTTTGCCTATGTATCCATACGGAAAGGAATTTGCTTTGTACAACTGTATGGCACCTTCTCTACTTCCATTAATGTATGCTTTAGCACAAATTCCTAACCCACAAGAACTATTTGTTAAGGAATGAAACATTTGTTGTATGCATTCAACAGGGCCTGAGATTTCTATTGGAGTGTAGTATGAAATATCTTGTAAAAGGCAGTGAGCAGAACTGGCTCGGTAACAAGCTCGAAATGCCTTGTCGCACGGCGAATATGCTAAGCGGTGCCCCCAACGTTGAATCATGTGGAATCGCTTAGCATGCCAGATGTGAGTTTCTAACCAAACATTGCACCTCTGCCGCCTACTGTACTCTTGGAATAAATTCGCTGGTCGCCGTCTATATTTTCTAGATGGCCGCTTCTGCTTTGGAGCTAAACCGCTCTTTTTCATTTGCTCTATATGACCTCGCCGAAGTTTAACCGGCAATCGTTTACAGTTGTGGCTCATAACTCTACGACGCATATGGACAGGTAAGTTTTGGAAAATCAGTTTGGTGGCACTTGGACGAAGTATGCTTTCCGTCATTGCTGCGATTTCTATGCTTCTTGATGCTGCAAACTTCAGGCTATTTGCAGTGTTTGGAAGATGTTCGTCACCGCCTAAAGTGGCGTCAAATTGTGAAGATTCCATTGTTTTCTCGATTTTAAATAACTTAGTGTTTGGCTTTTTATATTCAGTAGTTTTGCAAGGTACAACTTACAGGAATACCTAAACTCTAAATGTAGGCACATTACGTAGTATCTCTCACAAACTACAAATTGTAATGGTATCTCTTAATCTCTTATTAGTTTGTGGCACATAACCAACAATTTTTTTTTTAATTTATTGCTGGCCATGGAAACAAAGTCCTTCAGCCGAAAACATAAACGTTTAATTATATTTCTGTAAATATGGCCACCACAAAAAGGATAGGCAATTTGAGGCGGCGTGATTGTATTGACTCGGGATTCCTTAGAACGGGCCGATACGGGTATTTTAGTTCGAGATTCGTATAATTTCGCGTTTTAATCTTCGATTAAGGCACAATAGCACTATCCTATTCCACTTTAAACTAGATTTCACAAAATAATTGAAAGTCAAAATAAAAACGACACTTTTCCCTCCAAAAGGCCCAGAGCGAATCACATAACCAACAATAATTATTTGAGTGACGTCTCACTGACAGTTTAATTTTTTTTTTGGCTTGCATATTCCTTTGAGCCATAGTTTAATAATTATCATTCATTAGAGGTGGAAAAACTGCTTATTTTTTGAAACGTTTAAATGTAACTTTTTTAAGAAAGCGTGCTTTTTTGTTTAGAGGATGGAAAAAAGTAAAGGAAAGGAGCTGCCCTATCTACGGAATAAACATGGCTACCTAAACGAAAATAGTGCGTCACAAATGGCGGATTTCTTTAACGATGTACCATAATCGATAAATCAATATCGACAAGCAAATGTATGGCTTAAATGCTTTTTTTATATAATTTCAAGGGACGGGACGAACAAGTCGTGCGCCTGATGTTAAGCTACACGCCTGTTCATACGAGTTACAGTGCCACTTAGAGCTTTAAATTGCAAAGATCTGAGGGGCACTACCACTGCGCTCGTCACCCTGAGACATAAGTTAACAAATCCCATGTGCCTGTAATTTGGGAATGTTTTATGTCATATGGGAACATACGGGAATATCATATAAGATTTTGAATTTATTATTTTGCATTTTTAAATGGTCAAATATTACGAAAAGTGAATTTGCACAGAAAAAATGTACTTAATTTGAGAGTATATTAAAAAAAGAGAAAATTTTGTTATATAAATCTGGACATCTCTACGCATTTTCAATCTTAAAATTTATATTAGAAAGAAATTTTTAAAAGGTACCAAATAGTGTACACCATATTGTATTTATGCATTGGCATAGAAATAATATCAGTGATTTTGATTTAGGTGAATCTTTAACACTTCCGTTTTATTTTTGAAATAAATAAAATTACTTAGTAATAGTAATATTCTCGATAATCATAAATCAGATATAATATTAATAATAATATTAATTGTGCATTGAAACTATGTGGTTGACATAGAAGTTATTACAGGTGCTGTTATATATTATTGGGCGTCTATAATTATTATGTGAGTGTATATATATATGTTATACATATATGTTAAAGTTGTCAGCGGATAGTTTTGTTTTAAGGAACTGAGAATGCCTAGTAATAAGTCTTGTTTAATCAAAATTAAATATAAAACTATTTACCAATAATGTAACGATGGAATTGCATTATCATTATAATCTAGTTCCATTCAAAATTTTATTAAAATTTGACTCTTCAAAATGAAGCGAATAAACGAAATTGGGATTTTAATACAATGTTTTTTCGGCAGTCCTATGATTTCCAACCATTCTTTCTTTCTTTTTTTATTTGTTACCTTTAAAAATAAAAGTAATGAAATAACAAAAACCTCGTAGTGAATTGTTTTAATAACAGAATATCGATAATATCTATGTTTACAAGAACAACACTATCTCGACATAATCGTTATCAACACTCATCAAAATATATAAACAAACAGGCAATCTAAAGCAACCAAAGCAAAATTTGGCAAGATTTATTAATAAACTACTTAAATAAGTCTAGCTGCATGAGATATTTGGGCTATTTTTTTTAAACAAATCAACTCTACGGGTCCCATGGTCACAGCTGACGACTATGGTGCATGCAATCTGCCGATATACGCGATTTAGAACCGAGAAAACGCTTTGTGTTAATAATTATAACATTTAATTACTATTCATGCGAATACCTAATTCATTAAAATATTTGGCGAAACGTTGGTTTTGACATTTGATGTACTTCCCTTTGACAACCGTCTCCGTACTCCAAAAATGGTGAAAGCGCTAGAGGATCTAAGTGAAATCCACACAGTTGGCATTTAATTAAAATGATGTTACGTATTTTCGAATTGGCACATACCAATGTAATGCTATATCTTTGCGGTTTCGACGGTACACATTAGTTGAACAAAGACAATAACACGTTTATGTTGTCAGCGTCGAAATGCATCATATACTTATAATATTTATATATGTCAATGTAACGTTTCCTTTGGTTACCATTGTCAAAGGTGGTGGGTTAAAATGACCGGCATCTCATCTACCTATTGCGGCCGTGGGGGGTTAAAATGACAGGCACGGCGCACCTAATTTTGCGATGCTCGTTCACACCGCAGATGGCAAACGCTGCGTATTTAGCCATATAACATGACCGGCGTGGCCCTGATGAACTGTGGTTGCCACTTGGTTTTTAGGATTTTGATGGCGTACATACTTTTCTAGAGCAAGAAGAAAAAGTATATATATTTCGAGTAAAAAAAATTTACTTTAATTTCAAATTTGATTTAAAAGTTACAAACTAAGCAAAAAAATGGTTAATGTGAAATGTTAATCACAAATGAAAGATGTACGTCAGTTTTAGGTAAACATCGATCGAACATTACGTGTACATACTCTGCCCGGGTTAAACTGCCCGGCTCTAAATATAATCCCAAACTAGAGCCAAATAATCAAAATTCGCGAAAAAAATTATATACGTACACAAGTGAGACAAAAAACAGTCATGTAAGCGAATGTCATATTTTGAAAATTCTAGCTGGCGACGAGCGTGTTAAACGCTTTTTAGTTTGAAGTTTAAAAAATCGTTCAGAAAAACGCATTGATCTACCGAAAAACGTTTAAGCGCATAGACTTTTATTGTTACAAATTTTGCAAAGTTGTGTTAATAGCGAAAAGCAAGAGTAGAACACTAAAAGGTTTTAAGTTCAGTAAATTTATTTGTAAAACACGAATTTTATTTTTATTATTCACATTGACGAATTAATTTGATTAGGAAACATAATTGGTGAGATTCGAAACTCAGCCACGTTGTAATGCGCTTAAAATAAAAAGCGTGCTTAAGTACTTATTTTAAAAAGCAAACCTTTTTTAAGTGCTTTTCGTTAAAACGGCCGCCTCTAATTATCATTTATAATGTTCTTCGTTTAGATGTATCTTTTGAAGTTTTATTTAGCATGAATATATAAAATAAAATTGTGTTAAAAGCAAGTTAGCGTAAAACGTGATTATAAATGATTAGACAACAGCATAAAAGATATAAGCATATATATAACAGCATAAACATAGGAACACACGAAAAAAATTGACCTTCGTTTCTGGTCAATTTATAGCGTATTTTTGTAAATAGACTCATTGTGATTAGTATCATTGGTATTAGCTCTTATAAATAGCGGCTCTTCAGTTGCTATATGAACTTTACTTTCTAAGAACCGATAGCACTAGTTGGTTTTAATGATTTTCTTAGAAAGTATTCGAAAATGTTTAAACGTCTTTGTATAGGTAATAATTATCAATAATAAAATGAAACGACAACTAATATCATTATAAACAGCGAAACTAAAGAGTTAAAGTTAAGTTCGTCTGTCACTTGATATTATAAAAATAAAACAACAAAAGTATTTTGCTGCCGCCCCATTCAGATATCTTGTAGGGACATTCATATGTGGGCCTATGGGCTATATTTCACCGGGACACCATGGCGGCGCAACCAGTTGCGCCACCGTGGTGTCCGTAAGCTACCAAACTAGACGCCGTGCAGACACCAGAGTCGCCACACCACATTGAGACAGTATCAAAATGGACCTCGAAGAGATAGCACTACTGCTGTATGTACGTAGGAAAAGAGAGTACAAGAGAAAAAAGAAACAGTGGTGGGTTCATCCTTATTTAGCCGATCGCTGTAAGAAAGGACAAATTGATTGTCTACTTTCAATTTCGATAATAAACTTTTCTGTATCGAAATTATCCATCGTATGCAATGAACAAACAATCTAAATATTAAAATAAGTAGTTTATAAATCAAAACAACAGTGCACGCGTGTTGCTTGCAATGAGGTGGGGGCGTCACTGGCGGCCGGACTGGCGGCCGAGTGAGTGAGACACCATACAGCGCTATAGTAGTTAGTGGTGGCGCGACCAGCGTGGCGGCGCAACCAGTAACATTCTGTGCACGCGTCCGAGTTGGTCGCGCCGCCAAATTGGTTGCGCAACCAAATGGACACCAGGTGAGTAACTCTCTATAGAGCTGTATACATTTTGTTGGTAGCGGCGACTGGTTGCGCCGCCATGGTGTCCCGGTGAAATATAGCCCTATAGGTAGACGAAGTGTCCACACGGACATTTTTCTGTGTGTTACATTTGTTTTTAAAATAAATTTTTTTACGTCTGGATGTAAACTTCTTCTAACTTCACTTAAAATATGTTCTATTTGTAAATTTGGGTGGTACGGATGGCAAGTGACCATGTGGTCAACACACGGTAATAATGTTCGCAGACGTTCGTTAGCAGTGAATTCAACATTTTAGTTGTCTGCATTTAGAAAGAGGAAATCAAAAGCTTCGTGCGTGTTAATTACCACTAATATAGTCAATAATATGAAATTGAAATCCCTACCGACTTCTAGTGCTAATTAGAGAAGAAAAGGATAGTGATTTGACCGGATACCGGATATCTTGTCGCCGGATATCTGACCGACAGTCGTAAACATGTCGGGACCGGTTTACAGCGCGCATCGCCGTGATTAATTGATTAGTGAATGATTGCACTTTCACATTGACAATTTGATAAAAACGAATAATTTATTGGATGATACAAACAAATACTTACACAACAGTGAAAAAAAATCGCACACTTGGCATTATTTCAATATTAGTGCTGTTTGTTGTGCCGAATGCAAATTTCCCGCGGTGGAAAAGGAAAAAAGCAATTATATAATTACAACATAATTCGTTGTTAAAAGTATTAGCCTAGCACTTGACACGCCCGTTACTATTTTGTTTCAATTTGATTGTGATCTAAC